GATCGAGATCATCTTGTATTTGTTTGTATGTTAGGATAAGAAATCTTGAAAATGTGAAAAAGTTTTTTTTTCCAAGAATGATTAGGATGTAATCTTAGTCATGCTTTCGTCTTCCCTTTTTGGTTTTGGGAAAGAAATCACAATTTGAACTCAGAAAATAGTAATGTAAAAAGATGTAATATGTACGTAACAAGAAAGCAAGATAAATATAATCCTTTTGCATGGATGAGATATATGTGGTATGGATAGGCCCTGAACTAATAAAGTACACGTAAAATAGCCAAGCCCCAAGTCATCCAAAATCTAGCCCAACATCCTCCGAACTGCAAAGATTTCCAGATCTACCTAACATGTTAGAAAATGTAAATAAAAGTGTAAACTACTCATTTGGTCACACAATTATTAATTTTTTTCAAAATCATATTTAATATTATATTTTTGGTTATGTTTAAATCACACACTATTAAAAAATTAACGGTAATGCTGACATGGACATGTCGCTATAAAGTAATATTATATCAGTTTTCAAAATAAAAAAATGCTAAGTCTGTATTGTTATTAATTTTTTAACGGTGTATGACCAAAACGCAATAATAGATGTGATTTAAAAAAAAGAAATCGTGACCAAAACAGAAAATATAATATATGGAAAACTAAACAGGTAGTTTACCCAAAGGAAAATTGGGAAGTTATTAGGTAAGCCTTGGGTTTCCTTGTGTGATAAAACAGTCAAAAGGGATCGGAAACATAAGTTTGGTGGTTGTTGGAGTGAAACATTTGTTCCTTGAGTTAAAAGGCGCAGTTTCAGGGAAAAAGGCATGGCTTCTGCATCGGAGATTGCAGCAAAGTTGAATCTTGCTCCACACCCGAAGGTGGTTTCTTTGCTGAATCTTTCAGGGATAATTCGGTTTTGCTCTCCAAATCTCATCTTCCTCCTCAATGTAAGCTCTTTTTGTATACATGCCTTATCTTTGATGACTTCACTTCTGTTGCTGTCAATTAAAGATCAAATCTTTGATTCTGGGAAAATTATAGCTTCCCCCCCCCCCTTTCAATGCTATCTGATCTATAATTTGTTGGTTCCAAATATCATTCATATATTCAAACAAATTGTGATTGCCAAATTCAATTCATTCTTTTTCAACATTGATTTTGCTGAGAAGTAAATTAGAAGCAGAAGGTTTTTGTTATCTGCGTGCTGTTTATAGTGTCTGTAAGGGAATGCTTCGCACTCTGTAAAAGCACATTCCATTGAAAATTACACCCAGATTGCCATTGTCCTTGGAATTCACGAATTTGGTTTCTTTCTCTCTTCTTATCCAGTGTATGCCAATATTTATTTACTAGTGCTTCCTTAGTTGTATTTCCCATCGTAACATGATCGAATCTTCATCGCAGACAAAGTGGATCGCCCTGTTAGCACGAGTATTTACTTCTTGTTACCGTCCGGGAATGTGTCTCATCTTCATCGTATACCCTGTGCCGAGACCTGGCATTTTTATTTGGGAGAACCTCTGACGGTAATGGCCTACAATTGAACTTGTTCAAGCCATAACAGTTCCCTTTTAATCATGACACGGAACTGATATATAACTTGAAATGTTATTGATGTAAGTCGATAAAAATGTGAATCATATCATATAGGAACTATAATCTTTGGGGGTTATAATTTCATTTATATTCATTGTTGTTCTGAAGCATAATTGAAACAGGTCCTGGAGCTGGATGAGAAAGATGGGCAAGTAAAACTAACATGTTTGGGGCCTGATTTGTTGAATGATCAAAAGGTGCAGTACACAGTGCCTCCAAATGTTTGGTTTGGTGCATTTCCGACAAAGGATTTCCACATTTCGACTGACGGAGTGGTGACGAAAAATGAACCGAGTGATGCCGAGAGTCATTACTCGCTCGTAGGATGCACCTGCGCACCTGCCTTCCAGTTCCAAGACTTTGAGCTTGCAAAGCGTTCGGAGCTTGTACCGCGGTTCCCCAAACACGAGAATCTCCTTTCTCTACTCACTTACCCCAATTAAACGAAAGCTTAATAATAAAGTACCACACCGGTACTGGTTTCAATAATTGAAGTTTCAACCGATACTTGTAGCATCACGAAACGCTTTAGGATGTCCTGTACTCAGTACCAACTTTCAGATTTATGATTCCTGTATGCTACTACTTTCCTTTTCTTTTCCATCCAATGCATCTTGGACTCAAATTTGAAGATTATGAGCTTTTATGGTGTTCATATAAGTTTTTTGTTATTTTTCCTATCCATCGTGTCCATATCATGTTAAAGATGTACCATCGGATACACTCAGCTATGTATGTGTTAACAAGCAGGAAAATCGATGTGAGAAAGACAATTGCAAATGGAAATACCCACCTAGCCACATTATGACAAACCAACATGGAAAACATGTAATAAATCAAAAAGAAAATGAATTTAGAACCCTAAATTCTCAGAAAAATACAGAGCTTGCATCTTTAAGCTATAGAGTTCTAAAATTTATGAAAAAAATAACTTTCACCCCTTAATTCTTTATAATAATTGGGTCAGTGTAGACACTCATTTTCGTCCGTTTTTTATAGCAATATAATATAATTTTTGAAAATGTTTTTAAAATATATGTACTATATAGTTTCAAAAACATTTCGAAAATATATAGTATATAGTTTTTAAAAAAATTTGAAAACATATATAATGTATAGTTTTTGAAAATGCATTTGAAAATATATATATATATAGTTTTGAAATCATTTTGAAAATATATATAATATAGTTTTAAAAAAAACATTTTTGAAAAATTATATAATATATAGTTTTAAAACATATTTTGGAATCTTATATAATATTCTTAAATCATTTTTGAAAACTATAATATATAGTTTTGGAAATTTTTTAAGAATATATATAGTTTTAAAAAATATTTTTGAAATATATATTATATAGTTTATATTATATTATTATTAGTATGTTATTATTATTATTATTTTCATTACATTTTATTCATTTAATTTAATTTAATTTAATTGTTTTTTTGGGTCCAGATCCAGTCCAACAAGTTTCAGTTCGGTTTGGAAGGCCTGAACCAACCCAGTAAGCGTTAGGGTTTAGAACCCTAAAAATGATGCCAGTCAATGCGTCGCATGGGGGAGTCAAGGGGACACGCGTGGCCAACAGTCAATACCAAAACGGCCAGCCGGGATCCCGGGACTGACCCATCCCGGGATAGCCGGTCAACCACGAACCCATGACCCCGAAATATCCGAGATCATCCCAGAAATCACCGGAAACAGCCTCCCAACGGGCTATATAAATACCAGAGGAGAACGGTATCAGGAAAAGGAGGACCATCATCGAGAACCATTGAAGACAGTAAACCGAAGAACCATCAACAGTACCCAAAATCTATAGAGACCACCACGGTCAAACAAATCGGAGCCAACTACGAACGAACCCACAGTACCAACACATCAAACACGAGAGAGAACCACAAACGCAAGAACAACAAAACCAAGAACCATTTTCTGGAACAAAACATCATCAAGCCAAGATACTAACAGAAAAAACCATCATCAACGGTGAGAACCATAGCACCATCACGAGAAACCATCAACAGAGGGTACACACGAGATCCATCAACACAGAAACCTCAACCGAGACAACACCACAACAACCACAAACATAAAATACCAAAATCCGAAACCTACCACAGCAACCAAAAGCCAAAACGAAACTCATAAAAATACACAAAAATACAAAAACAACAAAGAACCGAGCAAAGCGAGAAGTAAGAGCACCGGGGAAGTGAAAGACTTTCGTTTTAGATCTACACTGATTGGCAAGGTTTTTGGGGTTTTGGGCTTCAGGTTCATGTTTAGGGTAGCTAGAGGAGCATTTTGAGAGTAGGTTAGATTTTTCGGCCACCACCGTCGGTGGCTGGAAGCGGCGGCGTTCGGTGGCAGAGGCTCGGCCGAGGGGGCTGTTTGAGAGAGTTATCTCTCATTTGAGAGAAGAAGAAGTCTGGAAAATGAGAGAAATGAATTAAAATGGGCGTTTTAGGCTATTTATATACCATGGACTGCCTTGTAATTAGAGGATAGTTAAATCCTCTCCGCCGTCCCCCAAGGTTTGAAGTGCATTTCATTTCAGTCATCATATGCAATTTGGCCACGGACTTTTCAATTGATTCAATTTGGTACCATTCATATTTTACATTCTTTGCAATTTAACCCCTAATTTCTTATTTTACTTTATTATTATCATTTTTAAATTATTATTAGTATTATTTATTTTACTTCATATCGTTTCCATTTTATTACTATTAAATATTTTTTTTGGCCTTTTATTTTTATTAACTTATTTTTCCATCTAACATTATTCTCCTTTTTTAGTAGTAATCTCAATCGGTCAAAGGTAAGTAATCTGAATCGATTTTTTTTTAATTTTAATTTAAGTTTCTAATTTTTCACAATTAAAGACAACCGACGAATTAATTGGTACCGAAAGGGCGGTTCAAGGGTGCTAATCCTTCCTTGACCGTAACCGACTCCCGAACCCGACACATTTCTGGTACAACGTAGATCAGGTAAGATGGTGCCCGACCCACCTAAATTCGTTTTAAAATGGTCGGTGGCGACTCTAACCCAATTCATTCAAGTCGAAGCCCAATTCCGGGGCCCCAACCGAAAGACGGTTGCGACAGTCAGCATGAACAGTACTTGGATCAAATCACCCTTGGTTTAACTTTGATTATAACCCTAAATCTTAAATTTTCTTTATAGTAATTAATAGGATCATTATTCAATAAAAAACAAATCTAAAAAGACCCACGCCTTATAGCCCTGGTTCGATGAACCCATGAAACAGCCCACAAACGCAGAAACCACTACATCTGATTTTTCTCTCTTCATCTCACCCACGTGCTATAAATCTCCTTCACTCACTCCACCATATAAACAAAAGTTGCACAGAAAGTTTCAAAGCATCCTGAGAAAAGGACAGAGCTTTCGATGATTGGTTCCTTGCAATGGCAATATCAGGCTCAGACACTCCAAACCCACCGAGCAAAGTGACCGCCCCGACCGAAACCCACTGCGTTAAATGCGAGTGTTGCGGTTTCACGGAGGAATGCACCGTTGCTTACGTCACGCGTGTCCGGGAACGTTACCAGGGCCGTTGGATTTGCGGTCTGTGCATCGAGGCGGTCAAAGACGAGGCCCTGAGATCGGAGACGCTTATCTCCGCCGAGGAAGCGTTGGAGCGACACATCCGTTTCTGCGAGAAGTTTAGGGCGTGGAGTCCTTCGGATAAGACGGAGGACCCCATTTTCGCCATGGTAAGGATTCTCCGTCGAAGCCTGGATTCGCCCAGGGCTCTTAGGACTAAATCGAGTAGCGTGTTGCCTGGGCTTGAAGGAGTTAAGCGCCCTCATCTGCTTCGATCTGAAAGCTGTTTCTCAGCTCTTTCTATTTGATTTACATTCTAAACAAACCCAAGTTCAAAAGGTAGTTTGGTTTGGTTCTCTCTTGATTTATATATAGCGTATATGAACTGCTTTTGGTTTCGAAGTTTCTTATATTTAGCCCTTCTTTTAATCCATTGATGAGCATATGAAGAAAGGTGGACGTTTGGTTTGGTTTTCTCTTGATTTTGCATATTTGGTAGTGTCTTATGAAAATGGTAATGTTTGTGCTGCCTTTTTGAACCAAATATCAGCTTGGCCAGCTATGAAAAATGGCTTATACGGAAAGCGATTTAAGAACTTGACATAAAAGGGAAGAAGATGACAGACAAATAAAATTGCAGGAAATTTCCTGGAAACGAAGGAGTGGAAGAAGAGTATTATTTTCTTAAAATTTGTGTTTTGCGATCTCATTCCATACCATAATATGAGTCATAGTGCAAATGCAGTTGCAGACCGAGTAAGAAACATGTACAACCAAATAAAAAATTAAAAATATCTTGGCCTGCCCTTTTCTTCTTCTTTTTTAATTTTCTTTTGCAACAGTTGGATCCTTGTTTGGTCCTGATATTTTTTAAAATTACTTTTTCCCCAAGACCAATCAATTAAGGCGTGGCACAAGAGTATTAGGCCAGGTTACCTTGCCTCTTTAAGGTTCCACTAGTAAGTTCCGTTTGATTTGGAATTCCTTTTCTGCAGTTATAACGGGGCACTAGTTTGGAGATAGTTTCACACTTCTTCATAGATATGAAGATCTTTATAGGATCCGAATTCGATCATTTATGTCTGAAGGATATTGTTCTTTTAGAGAATCTGAGTTTAAACAGTTGCATCTCCATAGTTTGTGTACATTGTTCATGAACTAAATCTTTTTTTGAATATATATTATATTATAATCTGTTCATACTATCTTATCTTGAGGATATTGAAATGCTTCTGCATACTGTTTCTTTCGTGTTGGTTTATGGTTATGGTAAAACTGGGAGGGGGAGCATAATCTTGATAGCAGATATAGCATGCATGGAAATATTGACCCATTATGTGGATAGGAATTGCAGATAATGACACAACATATACCTCTCAAGCACCAAAGTCATGGGCCTATATTTATCACTTGAGACCAGGGTACTTCATTTACATAATCTTTTGGGGTAAATTACGTGTTTAGTGCCTAAACTATTAATTTTGGTCTATTTTAGTACCTAACTTTCAATTCTTTCAAAACCATACCTAAAGTTTAGTTTTTGTTTCATTTAAGTACCCGGTCGTTAAAAACTTTAGTTTTTGTTTCATTTTAGCACCTCATTCAAAATTTAACGTTAAGTTTTGAAAAGATTGAAAGTTTAGAAACGAGCCAAAACTAATAGTTTAGGTACTTAACGCGTTAAGTTTTTAATGGTGGAGTACTAAAATGAAATGAAAATTAAACGTTAGGTATGATTTTGAAAAAACTGAAAGTTTAGGTATTAAAACAAACTAAAATTGATAGATTAAGTATTAAATGCGTAGTTTACCCTTTTTTTACAAAGACTTCATTTACATAATTGATTGTACAACAAAATACATGTTTGAATGAAACAACACTTTAGTTTTAAATACACAGTTTTCTTTACGACGTGTATCTTATTAAAATGCTTAACGTAATCAAAATAAAAAATTTGTTTATAAACTGATTTTTCGTCGCTTGCGATCAATCAGTGACTACACGATGTTCTACACTTTTAAGATAGTAGTTAGGTTTAACCCTCACTGAACTCATCATCAACGATTCTTTTATCTCATCGATCGTTTCTTATTTTCGTGTTTTCTTATAAACAAACAATGCAACCTAGTAGACACCTTGGTGAAGCTCATTGGCCGCCGCCCCTGCAAAGCTGGTTAATACGGATGGCGCTCGAAGTGCAAGTGATGATACCACGTCATGTGGAGGAGTAATTCATGATCACAACGGAATATGGGAGATGGGCTTTAAAAAACATATTGAAATATGTTCAGTGCTTGAAGCTGAGCTGTGGGAAATTTATGTCGGGCTGAAATGCGCGTGGAATTTAGGGAAGCAGAGAGTTGTTGTAGAATCCGATAGCTGCCACGCCATCCATTTGCTGCGGGATAGAAAACCAAAGGGTGGCACTATTAATATATTAGCACATATCTATGCCATGCTGGACTATCATTGGGAGGTTCGTGTTCAACATATCGGACGAGAAAGGAACCGTGTGTTGAGGTGATAAAAGTTTATTAGAAAGTTTGTTATTTAGTTAATGATCAGTTAGAAGTTAGTTAGTGTATTAGTTTGTTTTTAAATTGTATAAAAGGATGATGTACATGATAGTATAATGGAGAGATACAAAGTATTAATCACACGTGTTTTAACATGGTATCAGTTGAAAAGTCTCGTTTGATATATCACTCTCTCTAATTTTTTTCCCCTTTCTTTTTTCTTTCCAGAGTTTCGTTTTTTTCCCCCCTCTTTTCCTTCATGGATTCCATCGATTTCACTCATCCCCTTTATCTTCATCCATCGGATACGCCGGGGATAGTGCTGGTCTCGCATCAGCTGACTGGAATTGAGAACTACAATCTATGGAGCTGTGGGAAATTTATGTCGGGCTGAAATGCGCGTGGAATTTAGGGAAGCAGAGAGTTGTTGTAGAATCCGATAGCTGCCACGCCATCCATTTGCTGCGGGATAGAAAACCAAAGGGTGGCACTATTAATATATTAGCACATATCTATGCCATGCTGGACTATCATTGGGAGGTTCGTGTTCAACATATCGGACGAGAAAGGAACCGTGTGTTGAGGTGATAAAAGTTTATTAGAAAGTTTGTTATTTAGTTAATGATCAGTTAGAAGTTAGTTAGTGTATTAGTTTGTTTTTAAATTGTATAAAAGGATGATGTACATGATAGTATAATGGAGAGATACAAAGTATTAATCACACGTGTTTTAACATGGTATCAGTTGAAAAGTCTCGTTTGATATATCACTCTCTCTAATTTTTTTCCCCTTTCTTTTTTCTTTCCAGAGTTTCGTTTTTTTCCCCCCTCTTTTCCTTCATGGATTCCATCGATTTCACTCATCCCCTTTATCTTCATCCATCGGATACGCCGGGGATAGTGCTGGTCTCGCATCAGCTGACTGGAATTGAGAACTACAATCTATGGAGCCGCTCGATTCGTATCGCGTTATTGGCGAAGAATAAGTTAGGGTTCATCGACGACGATTGCACTCGTGATGATTTTGGTGAACTGCTGCAATCACAGTGGGACAGATGCAATGCAATCGTTCTTTCGTGGATCCTAAATACTGTGAGCGCTGATCTCTCGGCGGGATTGGTTTTTGCTTCTACGGCCGCGCATGTTTGGATTGATTTGAAGGAACGATTTAGTAAAGTTGATGGCTCTCGGATTTTCTTTCTGCATCGGGAGATTACTCTGTTTACTCAAGGTGATTCTTCTGTTTCAGCCTATTATTCACTTCTAAAGCTTCTTTGGGATGAGTACAGTGCGTTAGTTCCTGTCTCATCATGCAATTGTGTTGATGCTTTCCAAGCGTTGAATCATGTTCTTCAGCAACGTTTGTTTCAGTTTTTAATGGGACTGAATGAAACGTATTCTGCCATTCGGAGTCAGATTCTTCTTCTGGATCCGCTGCCTTCGGTGAATCGGGCGTACTCGATGGTGGTTCAAGAGGAGTCCCAACGTGATTTCTCTTCAGGTGTTTCACCACTGTCTGATACAATGGCCATGTATTCCAATTCTGCTAATTCTCGTCGAGGACGATTTAATGGAGTGTGCGACTTTTGTAAGATCCGTGGCCATAAGCGTGATCAGTGTTATAGACTCAATGGCTTCCCTCCTGACTTCAAGTTCACCAAGACAAAAAAAGCCTCTTCGGCCATGGTAGCTAATTCGGATCAGGATGATAATTCTTCGGAGTCTCCTCCTCTGGCTCCGATATTCACCTCGGATCAGTACAATCGTTTGTTGGAGCTTCTTGACAGAGATGTTCGTGACTCTGGTGCTAATGCTGCGGCCAATTTTGCAGGTATGGTTCAAGATGGTTTACTTGCTTCTATGAATAATTCTATTCCCTGGATTCTTGACACTGGTGCTACTGACCATATGATGTCTAATTTTGAATGTTTGAGTAATCCTGTTGAATGCCTATCACGTTTTGTTCATCTTCCAAATGGTAAAACACTTCCTATAACACACATTGGTTCTTTTTGGTTTGATTCGTCTCATTGCTTACGGAATGTCTTATATGTTCCTGCATTTACTCATAATTTGTTGCCTGTCTCCAAATTGACCATTGACCTAAATTGTGTTGTTCAATTCTATCCTGATTTTTGCATCTTTCAGGATCTCTCCAGTGGCAAGATGCTGGGGATTGGTAGGAAACAGGGATGCTTGTATGTTCTTCATTCTTTTGGTTCTTTTAGTACTGTTTCTAAGGCTCCTAATGTGTCTTTTGCTATTACACCTCATTGTATGTCCTCTGTTGCTAATAAAACATCTGTTTGGCATGCTCGACTTGGTCATGTCTCTTTTCTCAAGTTGCATCATATCTCCTTGAATGATTGTAAACTAGATTCTTCTGTTATTCATTCATGTACTGTTTGTCCTTTAGCTAAGCAAACTCGTCTGCCCTTTCCAGTTAGTCAGTCTCGTTCTGATTTTCCTTTTCAGTTAATTCACATGGATTTATGGGGTCCATATCGAATTTCCACTCATAGTGGTCATAGATTTTTTTCTAACAATAGTTAATGACTATACAAGAATGACTTGGGTCTACTTATTAAAACTTAAGTCTGATGCTATTATCTCTTTAAGGAAATTTCTATCTTTGGTCCTAAATCATTTTGAGTCTTCTGTCAAAATCATTCGTAGTGATAATGGGTCTGAGTTTTTCAACAAAGAGTGTTCTTTACTTTTCTCTTCCTTTGGCATTGTTCATCAGTCATCTTGTGTTGACACTCCTCAGCAAAATGGGGTAGCTGAAAGAAAGCATAAACACCTATTAGAAATAGCTAGAGCACTTCGTTTTCAGTCTCGGGTTCCTATTAAATTTTGGGGAGAGTGTGTCTTAGCTGCGTGTTACTTAATTAATAGGTTGCCTTCAGCTGTCCTTAATTGGAAATCTCCATATGAAATGTTTCATCATAAGCCTCCTTCTTTGTTACACTTAAAGGTCTTTGGTTGCTTAGGTTATGCTACTCAAACTAAGCCTCGTGACAAGTTTGTTCCTAGGGCTATTCCTTCGGTTTTTATGGGATATTCGGATACTCAAAAAGGTTATTTAATGTTTAGCCTTGTGTCTAAGACTTTTTTTGTGAGTAGAGATGTTCGGTTTCATGAAAGTTCTTTCCCTTTTCATTCACCTGAGCTTTCATCTCGGTTGTTTCCTTCACAACCCTTTGTCTCTGATTCTTAGTTTTTTGTCACTGATTTACCTCTGTCTGATGTGTCTCCTAATTCGGTTTCTCAACAGTCTGTTTCTAGTCCTTCTTCTAATGATTCGTGTCCTGCTGTTGTTGGTACAGAGTCTCCTCCACTTGTTAATTATCTTTCTTCTAGTGTTCCTGTTCCTGATGGTCGTGTTGTTAGGAGGTCTTCTAGGGTGTCCAAGCCTCCACTTTGGTTAAATGAATATGTTTCTTGCCAATCATCTACTTCTAGTTCTCATCCCATTTCAAATAGCATTTCTTATTCTCATCTTCCATATCACACCCAATCTTTTCTTTCATCTATTTCCATTGTTGAACCTACTAGTTATAATGATGCCATTAAAGATTCATTATGGGTTAATGCCATGCAAGAGGAGATTCAAGCATTAGAATTAAACAACACTTGGTGAGTAGTTCCTTTGCCACCGGGAAAGGTTCCCATTGGATGCAAATGGGTATATAAGGTTAAGTTTTGGTCTACTGGTGAGGTTGAACGATACAAAGCACGTTTGGTTGCGAAAGGCTACAATCAGCGAGAAGGTGTGGATTTTGTTGAAACCTTCTCCCCTGTTGCTAAGATGGTTACCGTCCGAACGGTTTTGGCGCTTGCTTCTTTACAACATTGGGCTCTGTTTCAAATGGATGTCTATAACGCGTTTCTTCAAGGGAACTTGCTTGAGGAGGTTTACATGACATTACCTCCAGTATTTTACAGCCAGGGGGAGAACATGGTTTGTAGGCTGCAGAAATCTATTTATGGTCTGAAGCAAGCATCTCGGCAGTGGAACATGAGGTTAACTGAAGCTTTGATAGCTGCTGGATATATTCAAAGTAAGTTTGATTACTCGCTTTTTACAAAAAGAAAGGGAACAAAAATAGTAATCATGCTTATATATGTTGATGATCTGCTGATTACTGGAAATGATGTTGCCATGATAGAAGAATTGAAAATGATTTTGCATGCTAGCTTCAGAATGAAAGATTTAGGTGAACTTAAATACTTTCTTGGTTTTGAGATACTTAGATCTAATGAAGGGATCTTGTTGAACCAAAGGAAGTATGCATTAGAGCTGATAGAAGAAACAGGATTAGGAGGTGCTAAACCTGTTTGTACACCTATGGAGCAGAATATTAAGCTTACCACTGCTGGTTATGATTCTAGTTTAATCAAGAATAATGGGAAGAAGATAAATGATGAAGTGTTGCAGGGTGAAAAAGAAATCTACCAGAGGTTGATAGGTAGGCTGATTTATCTCACTCATACAAGACCAGATATCACTTTTATGGTACATCATCTGAGTCAGTTCATGCAGCAACCAAAACGCTCGCACTTGGAAGCAGCACTTCGAGTAGTTAAGTACATAAAGAAGAATCCTGGTCAAGGGATCTTGTTGTCTTCTGCAGGACAATATCAACTATCAGCCTTTTGTGATGCTGACTGGGCAGCTTGTTTGATGACAAGGAGATCGGTTATTGGGTTTTGTGTCAAATTAGGAAATTCCTTAATCTCCTGGAAGTCAAAAAAGCAGAATACCATAGCAAGGTCATCAGCAGAGGCGGAATACAGAGGCATGGCGATGGTAGCAGCAGAAATTGTGTGGCTAAAAGGACTGTTAGTAGACTTGGGTGTGAAAGATCTTCAGCCGGTTAAACTCTACTGTGACAGCAAGGCAGCACTGCAGATTGCAGCAAACCTGGTGTTTCATGAGAGGACGAAGCACATTGAAATATATTGCCATTTTATTCGTGAGAAAATACAAGAAGGGGTGATTTGTACAGAATTTGTTTCATCTGCAAATCAACTAGCAGACGTTTTAACCAAGGCTTTGGGTATTCAGCAGCATGAATATTTAATCTCCAAGTTGGGAGTCAAAGATGTCTTTAGACTACCAACTTGAGGGGGAGTGTTGAGGTGATAAAAGTTTGTTAGAAAGTTTGTTATTTAGTTAATGATCAGTTAGAAGTTAGTTAGTGTATTAGTTTGTTTTTAAATTGTATAAAAGGATGATGTACATGATAGTATAATGGAGAGATACAAAGTATTAATCACACGTGTTTTAACACCGTGTGGCCGATTCTTTGGCGAAATCCGTTGCTGCCGATTCAATGGAAGTTCACCTGCTGCATTTTCCACCAGACTTTGTTAGAGAAACCTTGCTCGAAGACCACAGCCCCGATTAGGAGTTTGGTTTTATGTTTTAATTCGTTTGTTTTGTAAACTCTATGAAGAATTTCCTGTGTACTCTTTGATTGAATTCAAACTCACTATAAGATACTACTTTATTAATTAACGTGCCATAAAGTCTCAAATTTGAGTAACATGTTTATCAAAATTATTGTGGTAATTTACTTGAATGTTTATTGTGATGTTTAACTACACGTTTTTGTCAATTTCGAGATATAAACAAGATGATTCATAAAATCATATAAAACTCAGGCAATTAAGTTGATGACGGTTGAAATTAAAGTTGAAGAAGTTTCAAATTAATTCAAGTGACCATATAAAATTAAAAGGGTCTCAAATTAATGGTTGGGTGCTTCATCATGTGATTTGTCATCGATTGAGTGCTTCATGCCTAAAAACTTACCAACATTAATGAGAAATAAATTTATATCCTTTTCTATTTTGGCTGTCTTTCAAGATTTGCCAGATACCCAACACTTTCAAAAATGAAATTTCCTCAACTTCTGTACAAGATTAACGATTGCATGTGAAGTGGGGCAAAAAAAAACAGGGATTGTTGAATTCTCCAGATAAAATAAAGAAGAAGAAAAATCTAAACAGTTCATCAATCCTTTTCATGCTCCTTACCCTAAACACGAAATTGCTTTGTTTTCCACCATGATGTCTGGAGATCTCATTTGACATACAGAATTGTGAGGACAAGGGGTCGATTTCGTCGGCACTTACGACTCATTCGGCATCATGCCAGGTCTTTTTTCAGCACTGTCCAGCATTTGAAGCCAGAAATATCTTCATCGTTGATGCTCTACCTATTCAAATTTAAGATGTAGCAGCTTTAGATCTGTTATAACACCCTCATAAAATGTAAGAGTTGATGACAGAGTACCATTGAGGTTTCAGCCAATACGAAGAAAAATGCTTATTTGCTCTCCTGAAACCCCATAGAAACAAGTTGAGAATAATCAAATGAGGTAATAGAAGAATCCTCAAAATAAGGTTTACCAAACGATGCTTTCAAACTATACATCTTACTTTAATTATGATCCTGAACTAAGAAAAAAAGGGTCCAATAACCGTCGATGGTCATGAGCTAACCACATTGAACTAACCATTCAGATTTTACTAATTGGTGCAAAGAAGTTGAAGTAATTAGGCAATTTCACCTTTATCTTCTCAAAAGCATTTACTAGTAATAACTTTGCAGAATAATTAAAGAAAAGGTTTAGAAATCAGATTAGATAAGCATCAACTTCCTCACTAAACCCGACTTACTATGCTGTAATTATAAATGCTACTTTTAACCGTATGATACAAGTGAGAGAGTGAAAATCAATTAATTGCATTATTTATAAGTTTGTTAAACGATTGAACAAGAAGAAAACAAAGACTTACTGAATGGAAGGTAATCTGTGCTTCAAGCTGGATATGCTTAATGAGGTACTCTGTGCATGACGAAGAGCCTTCACAACATCAAAGTATGACACCGAGTTCAATGATGGGGAGCTTTTCTACTAAACAGCCACAGGCACAACTCTGTTTATCCCCAGAGGAACATTGTTATCCAAGGGCGAACTTGCCAGCTTCATGTCCTGTGATACTATTGTTGTAACACGGGAGGCTTCAATAGGCATTCCGGCCTTGAAAAGACAAGATGCTAAAGAATGCACAGTGACATGATCAGGGGTACAACCAACTGATAGCATTTTATTGAAAATGCCAATTGCTTCAAGCATTTTTCCTTTCATACAATGCCCAATAATGAGAATAGTAAATGTCACTTTATCGGGATAGCATTTCTTCTCTTCCATCTCCACAACTATCAGATTGGCCTCATCCAAATTTCCAGACTTGCACAACCCATCAATCACAGGGTTGAAGATAAACGGTTTCAGAGCAATGTTTGTACATTTCAATTCCATCAAAAGTTCACGAGCCTCATGTAGTCTATTTTTCTTGCATAGAGCATTGATTGTAATGGCAAAAGTATAAACATTTGGAGGTATATTTCTCGCTTTCATAGCATTCCAAAGCCGCAAGCTCTGGTCCACGTCTCCATTGCGACAGTAACCATCAATCAAGGAAGTGAAGGTCACAACATCAGGAACGCAACCAAAAGAAGGCATCTTCTCGTACATGGACTTAGCAGAAAGCATATCTCCAACCTTGCCAAAGCCATTAATCAAAACATTAAAAGTAACTGCAGTAGGCACAGTTCCAGAATTAATCATCTCATTAAAAAGAGCAGAAGCTTCCCCCATCTTACCCAACTTGCAATAACCAGATATGACTGATGTATAAGTCACAACATCGGGTGCACAATCATCTCTCGATCGAATTTCATTCAGTAATTTGTTACCTCTACCTACCTCATTTGCCCTACACAACCCACCGATAATGGTATTATAGGTAAGGATATCAGGAGAACAACCAAAATTCCTCATATCGTAAAAAAACTCAAGAGCTTGATCCACCTGCCCAGCTTTGCAAAGGCCTTGAATTAGAATATTAAAGGTCCAATTATCCGGGTAAACGTTCGATGCTAGATTCTCTTTATATAAGCTAACTGCCTCGTCTAGTTTATTTTTCTTAATCATCATATTCAACAAATTATTTACAGAAAAAACACTGATTCCTACTTCATCAGACTGAATCTCAGCAAGCAACTTCTTTGCCATTCCAAACTTACCTGCCTTCCCAAAAGCCGAAATCATAAATCCTACCACAGAACTATCAGGCAAATGCCCATCAGTCCTCATATAATCAAAAACTAATTTAGCCGAATGATGTAGACCCATATTACAAAACGACCTCAAAAGCAAATTATAAGTCCAAAAAGAATGAGTAATATTAAAATTAACCCTACTGAACTCGAAAAATTTCAACCCAAATGCCGGATGGTTAAACCATTTAACAACTTGAAACTCAATAGAAGGTGTCAAATTCCTGTTCAAATAACCCACAGATGAATCATTCAAAGGTTGTGAATAAAAAAACAGAGTGCAAACAACCTTAACAAACCAAGCCTCGTGCTTTTGAACTACCCTTACATCTTGCGGGTGAGATCCTCCGTGAAATTGAACGTGGTTATGAGGAATGAAGAGCTTGGAGGCGGGTCGAACCCTTGAGGCACGAGTTGCGAATGAAAATAGGGTCATATGTAACCCCACACCATATCTAGGCCTAATTCGGTACTCAAAATTATCTTCTTGAATACAGATCACCCCAGATTCAAAGTTGGGTTTTGGATTGAACTCTCTACCCTTCATGAGAAGGTACCATAGCAAAACGATCCAAAGCTCAAACCAAATGATGATTATCTAACCATAAAAAGCCAAACCACCAGACAAATTTCAAGCATTCAATAACCAAAGTAGACCACTGAAAAGATCACTGAGCATTTGAACGATTGACATTGAAAGGAATCTGAAATAAGGAAGAAAAAAGATCTAACACTGTCTGATGTAAAAATGGGGCATTTAGGGTTTTCGGCGTCGCTTGTGAGGACTGGCTCACTGCTTCGTCTTGATTAGCCTAACTATCGTTTAGCGGAACAAGAAAAACAGTTCAAAGGCTTGGGCTTCATCTCCAGAACTTTCTACCCCATTGAAGCTCAATTGATCCTATGCTTAAGCTAAAGAACAGTTTGGGTTTGGGCAATAGCCATTGGGCCTGTAACATTGGATTAAGGATTTACTTTTAATTTTCTCCTTAATCTCTTCGAAGCCAACTGTCATTCGAAAAAAAATATAAAATATACAAAAGTTATTAAATTATAATTAAAAATTTTAATTAAAATTTTAAAATAATTATAAAATAACCACTATACGGCTATAATAAACATAAAAATTTTAAAATATTTTTAACTTTTTTAATGATCATTTTATAACTTTTAAAATCTAAATGATTAAAATGATCATTTGAATATATCTAATAACCTCTAATGTATTTTATTAAAAAAAAACCTGAGCGAGCAAAAATCAGGACCAAAACGGGAAAGTAACGTGTTGCCTTTTTAGATCGCATGGTCGACACGTGTTCTTCTGAACTGTCACCTAATATATTATTTCAGCGAAAGAATCAGAATCAGGAAGAAAATTTTTGCAATACTTTGTTAAAATACAATAATTTCAATTATTACAGTGTTGTTTTATTGGCCAAAATGTTATTAAATACAGGATTTTCCCTGTTTGGGCCAATTACTTAAAAAAAGTTAGTTATTATTATTTTATAATATATATTAATAATTTAATAAATATAAAAATTTATTTTAACATATTTGAATTCATAATTTATACACTAAAAGAATTAAAATTTTGTTAAAAGACGTGAAAGTCCTTACTAGACAAAAGTCTTCGGTGATCAACGGGAAAAAGTCCTTTTTTTCTCGAATTATGTGATCGCTGATTCAACTGACAAGATTCAAATCATGTGAGCAAACTCAATCATAACCGTACACGTCATATAAAAGTCAACGAAAAATCCAGAACAAAGCGAATCATCATCATACACCCGTCTACAACATAGTCCCGCCCATTTATTTTCTTCCTTGATTTTTTCGAATACGGAAATACTTTTATCCATAATTTCGGATAATCTTTTTTATTCTTTCTATCAACAATTTCCAACAAAAAACATAAAATAGAAAAGAAATTACGTTTTTGATTTTTTAGTCAAGATAAGGGCTGTGCACTAATTTATTAAGGTTTTGAGTAATTGATTTGTATGTAAAATATTTAGAAATTTAAAGCAACTTCTTGTTTATTATTATTTTATTCTCTCTCTCTCTCTCTCTCTTCAACAATGGCGGAAATATCGCCTTACCATGTGCGCTTCAACAGATATTATTATTAATACCCACTGCTTCTACGCTCCTTATCTTTTCTCTGCTTGTTTCATTTACTAAATACCATTCCGCTGATTTTTGGAAGGAATAATGATAATTCTAGTTCAATCAGACGCTCGGGGTTTCTTCACGGGATGCAGTCTCTCTCTCTCTCTCTCTCTCTTCAACAATGGCGGAAATATCGCCTTACCATGTGCGCTTCAACAGATATTATTATTAATACCCACTGCTTCTACGCTCCTTATCTTTTCTCTGCTTGTTTCATTTACTAAATACCATGCCGCTGATTTTTGGAAGGAATAATGATAATTCTAGTTCAATCAGACGCTCGGGGTTTCTTCACGGGATGCAGTGTATCTCCGTCTATGGTTCGCCGGAGGAGAAAAAAGAGGATAGGAGGAGGTTGTCTTCGACGGTGGAGATAGACGATGATGATTTGGGGTCTTGCAGTTCGTCGACGATAGGAAGGAACAGTGATGATTCCGGTGAATCACAATCAGATGATGATGACTCAGCGGAGGCGGAAGTGCAAAGCCAGCCGAAAGGACCTTTGGACACCATGAATGCTCTCGAGGAGGTTTTGCCCATGAGGTAAATCATCTTTTTAGTGTAAAAAAAACCTTCAAATTTTGGATTCTGTTTTCCTTTATGGGTTTTGATCTAATCTGGGTTATTTGTTGAACTTTGTAAATAAATCTAGAGGCATAGCTAGCTAGCTAGGGTTATGTTTGAGAATTACTCTAAGTACTGGTTTATATGTATCTAGTTTTTAACTGCTTAGAATGTACTATAAAGTGAAATTTAATGAGTTTCTATGTCTTTAAGAGAGTTGAACTGGCTTTAGCTTTAACATATTTCCTGAATAAATTTTCTTAATGGAAGTTAGGAGGCATTTTAAGCATACTAGCGAGATTTGCCTTTGGTAATTGTTAATACCGAATAATTAATTACTGATTTGCACTAATTTACTAGCTTAAATGATAATCTTCTGATGCACTTGGAAATTATAATAACTGACCACCAATCACTCCTTGAAGTTGCACCCTTTGATGATCTAATGTCAAACATCTCGAAGGAGTTTGCTTTCATGTTGCAATATTACCAACCATAAACCAAAGGCCTGCGTGCTTGGACTTGGATGTGAGTGTCGAGTTCGGGTATGCTCTCGGCATAAGTATATTTCAGGTTTTTCATATATTTGGGTACTCATATCTCTAGACCTATATGTGTTGGACATCGATGCCGGACACAGGTACTTCAAGCATTTTTGGAATAATGGGAAAATGTCTTTTTAGTAACCATTGCTTGAGGAACACGGATGTCAGGCATGGATGCTCTCCCGTTTTTTCTTACTAACCATTGCTTGGCTAACAGGAAAACGTTTTCATAAAAGGACCGCTGTGATTTGTATAGTTATTGTTTGGGTGCTTCAATGTCTTATTCTTTGTGGTTTTGCTTTATTTCAGAAAAGGTATATCCCAGTTTTATAATGGCAAATCTAAGTCCTTTACAAGTCTAGCCGATGCGGTTGCTTCTTCTTCTGTCAAAGATTTTGCCAAGCCGGAAGATCCCTACAATAAGAAGCGCAAGAACTTATTAGTCCGTGGTTCTTTGCTAGACAGTAAACGCAACAATCCTTTGAGTAACTATGTAATTGAGATATCTAAGAAAGTAGCCAACACCAAGCGAAGCACAGTGGCTGTGGGGTCCACAACGATCAGCTCGGACATCATCTCAACCGCATCATCACCATCTAGATGCCGTCCACCCCTGCATCCAACGTGTAAAAAATCAACTACAATCAGACCATCGTCATCATCAACTAATAGACCAAACCCCCCTTGCCGATCTTTCTCCTTATCTGATCTACAGTTTGTTGCTGCCGGAACTCCTAAAATAGCTGGCTTGGCTGTTCACAGTGGCAATAAGAGCAACAAACTGCACTGAGTTTAACTGGAGTTCCACTTTCAATACTATGGAACTGGACCTTTCTACAAGGTTTGTAGTTTTAGTCTTGTGTCGGTCGTTTTTTGCGTCCTGCTTTGGTCTGCTGCTTGAAGTGCTAGGTATACCATGATGATGTGCTTAGAAGTAATTCCTAATGTATTGTTCTTTTGTTTGCTTTGAGACAACGATGAGAGCATTATTGTATGGAAATAATATTCCTAGTTACTATTTACATGTTACTGAACTCAGAAAAGGCTACTCTCCATTCATTCTCGGAGATCAATGAAGATTGGTTATTTCCCATTTAAGGGAGAATCATACACAGACAGCTACATGATTGTATTTATTTAAAGATATACAAACTGATAAAGGAATTTGGGTTGAGGAAATTATTTTTTTATTACATTTTAGATGAATCACCCTGCCAAAATACAATAGAACTTGAAGGAACACAAAGGAGGACAACAGGACTGACTTATTTGCTAGTAATTTCAAACAAACTACAATAAACTAGAGGACACAAGCAGCCAAGGAAGCAGGGAATTTGTGGAATACATGAAATGACCCAACAAATTTTATCATCTTAACCAGTTCCACCAAGAACTTTCTTCAGCTTCTTAATCTGAGCAGCATCGGGGAAAGTAGTCTGCCTTATAATGTCAATGGGTATGTCGTTTGCAAACAATGCATAATCGAGGATTTGAATACCAGGGCTTGGACAGCTAAAGGATGCGAGTGCAAAGGCTGGAGTTCCGCCTCCATTGATTTGGAAATGCAATAAACCCTGTGGGAAAACCATACCATCTCCTTTCCCCAGAGTTTTGACGTAAACAGCGTTGTCTGAGGATATGAATCCAGCACTAATTTTGCCTATCGCATCAAAAGGAGCAAAATCCAGACAAGCCATTGAAATGTCGAGTTTATTAAGACCGGGGGAATTGAGAAGAGAAGGCTGGTGTTACCGCAGCTTTTATGCGGTTTGAAGTGTTGCCTGTGGCAGCAAGGCCAGAGTAAACAAAATCATTTACGGTGATCGCTTCAGCCTTCTTGCAAGAGTAACCTGCATGGCCTTGGGGAGCATTTAAGTCACCAACGCAGAAATCTGCTGCGTTGGAGGAGGAAAATAGGAAAGATAACGCGAAAAGGACTGGGAGGAACATTTCTTTGCCTCTGTTTTTTTATGCCTGGAAACGTATAAAGCCGAGTTTGAAGAGTGAGTCTCACCTCACCCTTTACATAGAATGAAAAGTATAAATATTTTTACAACCAATTGCTTTAATGGATCAGAGTTCGGATCGTGATATTGTGAACAGAGTAAATGAGTTTGAGAGTCTCATCCTATAATACACTTATGTAATATTAATTTGATCTCTATTAGTTGGTCAAAGTGTGAATATTTTTGAGCCACGATAAGTGATTGATGGTATGTCAATGCATACTTTCACGTGGTGACAATGAAAGTGACTACACGTGCGAGAAACAACAGATCTTGAAGCAGTGATACATGTGCATAGGTAAGAATTTCTCACATAACAACAACAGTACTCTTTTGCTTTGGAACACCACAAGATTAGAGGAAGCAAAGAATTTTCATTGAATGCGTGCGTATTGTTAGAGCTTTATTAATTGAAGCAACCCTTGTCTTCTTAAATGAAACCTAGTAGGTGTATCCATCAAAGATAATGTATCGATGGGAACAGTACTAACCATGCATACCACAGACAAAAACACAGCAACATAGCCTGTTATTAGGGTTTAATTAGCAACCAAGATCACCGTTTACAGGGTGGAGATTTGAGAAGAGTAAGAAAACGGTGGTCCATTGGCTCCAGCGGCCTTTTAGGAGGGACTAGGGAGTGAAGTTAGAAGACATCCTAGGCAGATAATAATTAGAGTCTGCTCATCAGTTTGGTTATCTCAAATATGTGGAGCATGCAGATTCCGTGTCTTACAAGAAGATTGTGATACTGATGATGATTTCACAACAAATAGGCAAACAACAGAACGCATTTGCCAAATGCTGTTCTGCCTTTTCTGCGCTATTATCAGTATGAAAGCTCCGAGTCTTCTTGCAGGTAGAATGCTTTGCAATGCTCCTAGCTGTTTAGTTGGTCTATCATTTCTATGGATGTTTACACGTGAACTAGTTTTATATTGTTTTGCTGAAGTATGCTTTTGGGGCTTTCACATTCAAGAGTCTTATCTTTCCGATAACATTTCAATAAATATGATATTTATATTCTGTGCAGTTTTCAAGGTTCTCCTTGCGATGACAGTAATTTGAGGAGTGATTTTGATGATACAGAAAGAGAAGAGGCATCTATTTCTGGCCAGGAAGATTCCAGTGATCACCTTGATATCCTTTAATGGGCTAAGGTTTGAATAAGCTATGCTTAGTAATTTAAGCTTTAAACCATACCCTTATGCCATGCCCCACCTTTTTTTCTACATTTTAGAGAAAGTAATTCCCCACAATTTCCAGGCAAACAATCATGGATCATTGCAGATACTGTGTGAATATTATCGACTACAGTTTCCAGCAAGGGATTCAAAACTTAGGTTTCATCCTTTGGAGCACCTTCATCCACTGGAATATCATAGACCTGATGAACAAGTTCTGCATATTGCTGGCTCAACCGTTGATTTGAGATCTTGCAGTACAAGTCTTGAATTTGCTGAGGTAACCGTGATTATTAGTTTCATGGGTTGGGATAATGTTGCATTCCTCATTTCAGACTTGATGGTTAAATTCCATCTCACTATTATCTTCTTTTATCAGGAACACACTGCTCTTTTGGCAGAAGAGGAAGCGACCGCTCTGTCAACATGGGCTGTTGCATGCATGTGTGGATCTCTGCGGCTTGAACATGTAAACATATGTCCCTGCTTATTTACAGAAGCATAACATGCTGCCTTACGTTTTATTCTAAGTTGATTTTGATGTAATGCTTGGCTTTTTGGATGCCATATAATGCATTTTTGCTCATGGACTTTAATGTGAAATTTTAAGGACATAAACTTTTATGCTTTTTGAGATTGCCTATATATCTAGTGGTGAATGGAGATGCTTTACTATTGATTCTAAATTTTGTTTCTATTCCTTAATGTTTGAAGTCCAGCCATGATTTTAATCATAGAATTTGTTGGTTATGACCTTTTTTTTAAAAAAACCTTGTTCTATTTTATATTGTGACGTAATCATCAATCACCATTTATCTGTTTATTTATTTCATGTGTGTGTGTGTCTTTGAGTTGTTCCCTCAAGATATAATGAGCATTAGTAATTTCAGTTTTGCTTGGTCTTGTATAGATTGCTGAGAGGATATCTTAATTGATTCTTCTTATCGTGCATGTGTTGACAATCTTTGCTGCAGCATTGCTGGAGAAACAAATTGTGGTTGTCTGTTCGAATTTGGTAGGTATTATCATCGTAATGGTGGTAATCTATTTCAAGTTGACTATGTTTTAACTATCAATCTTTATGTTAAAACCTGATGACTGTATTTCTATTATACATTTCTATCTTTAAAACCAGTGTATCTCCTTCCATGGCCTTTGAGGCTAGTTTGCATCCATTAGCTTGGAGCTTTCTATATTAGATTGTAGCTTGGAGTTCACATGAATTTGGGTTCAAGATGACTTGAATTTTTTCTAGGAGTTTCTGTTTGATGGTTGTGACTTATATTATATTTGAACGACATGGTTTATCTCGTGTACTTTTTTGTTCTTAAGTGATTAATAATTAGAAATTTAGAAACTCTGGATTTATATATTAGATTTTAAATTATTTGCAGGGAAACTTATCTGCTATAGTTCTGTCAATTGTCCCTCTGATCCGTGCATTCCAATGGCAAAGCCTCTTGATGCCGGTATAATCTCTTAATGATCTCTGATATTTAGACTATTCATATTTTCTCTACTTACATTCAAAAGTTTGCAGGTTTTGCCAGAATATATGCTAGACTTTTTAGATGCGCCTGTTCCGTACATAGTAAGTTTACACAAAAAAAAAGGCTTAATGTTGCATGCTTTATTTATTTAGTTTCCAACAAAATCTTGTCAGTAATTTTTCTCCATGTATAAATGAGACTTTATATTCCAAGTGGATGATAAGCCCAGACTGAAGAAAGGTTTTGGTGACTTTGATCTATATTAGCAGAGCACATACTACCATACTAGGAAGAGGAGGGTAGACTAATGTTCTTTGCTGTTATTGAGCTTATGAGGATGTCATATTAAGTTGAGCACAACTGTCCACGTAACCCGTTTAACTAAACCTACATACTTGGAAAAGACTCGGTTATTATCATATACGTACTAATAAAGTCTCGTGGCTAAGGTTTCTCTCTAGTTGTTGCCTGGAAAGTAACAAGCTCTCTCTGAATAAGTTACTTCTCCCAGATGGGTTAAACATGGGGTTCTTTAAAAGTTTATGGACGATTTTGAAAAGAGACATATTGAGTTTCTTTAGCGATTTCTTCAGGGGAAAGTTATGGGATAAGGAGTTTAATCAAATTTTTTTTTTAACCATTATCCCCAAGAAGATCAATCCAAAATGTTTGGATGACTACTGGCAGATTAGTCTTGTTGGGGGACTTTATAAAATTCTGTCAAAGGTATTATCAAGGTTACGATCTTGCATGGATGCGATTATTGGTCCATCTCAATTTGCTTTCACACCAGAGAGGGGCAAATCATGGACTGTTTGTTTATTGCGAATGATGCCATTGAATTTTGGAGGAAGAAGGGGTTGAAGGGTGTCGTTTTTAAGGTGGATTTCAAGAAAGCGTATGATTCGGTGGACTGGGGAATTTTACTAAAAATTATGAATCCTATGGGTTTTGGTATGAGATGGTGTTTGTGGATTGAGTTTTGTCTGTCATCGGCATCCATTTCCGTTTTAGTTAATGGGTCTCCCACAGAAGAAATCAAGATTTCGAAAGGGCTTCACCAGGGGTGTTCTCTTTCACCTTTACTCTTCAACATTATAGGTGAGCTGCTGAACCTTTTGTTATCTAAGGGTTGAATGTAGGGTTTTTTAGAGGGTTTGAGATTGATGTTCAGGGTCGCTCTCTAATGATTTCACACTTGCAATTTGCTGACGACATAATTATTTTTTGTAATGCTTCTTTTGGAGAATTGAGGAATATTAGTTGGGTCTTATCGTTTTTCGAATTGATGGTTGGTCTTCAATTGAATTTGACAAAGAGTAAATTTACATAATCAATATGGAGGTTGATATTCCTAATGATTGGGCTCGTTTATTTTGGTCGTTCTGTTGGATCGTTTTCGGAAAACTATTTAGGGCTTCCTCTTGGGGCAAAGAGGAATTCGACATTGATTTGGATCCTGTAATTCAGAGGTTTCAAAAGAAGTTAGCGGGCTGGAAGATGGTGACTTTGTCTTTAGCATGAAGGGTTGTGTTGATCAAGTCTATGTTAAGCTCCTTGCCATTATACTTTATGTCTTTATTCAGAATTTTTTCTTGTGTGCTAAAGAAGTTGAACACTATTATGGTTGGTTTCTTATGGGGGGTCAAATGATAGAAAAGGTATTTACTGGGTAAGATGGGCTTCGGTTTGCAGACCGAAGGATTTGGGTGGTCTGGGAATTGCAAATCTGGATCTTATGAACAAAGCTCTTTTGGGGATAAGGAGGAATTTGGTAGATTGGGAGATGGAGCAGTGGCTTCAATTGCTTTCGTTGTTATGCAATTTTCACTCCTCGAATTTGATAGATGATAGTTATGTTTGGTATGGATAGGGAGACGGTCGTTTCTTGGTGAAATCGTGCATGCGACTTATGTTTGATAGGTCTAAAGTTAATTTTTTTATGGTCCAAATACGTGTGGCTTAGGTTTTCCCCTCCTCGGGTAGAGTCTTTCATATGGCAGGTGTAGGGATGTAAACGAGTTGAGTTGAGTCGAGCTCGAGTATTGCTGAGCTCGACTCGACGCGAAAACTTTGAAATGGAGCTTGACTCGAAAACTCGTGAGCTTAAAATTTTTAAGCTCGACTCGAACTCGAAATCCTGAACTGAAGCTCGTGAGCAGCTCGAAAATGCTCGAAATGGAAAAAAATTTCTTAAACTTAACTAGATTGAAGCCTCAAACTCAAACTCAAACCTGAACCTTAAATACATGAAAACCTTACTGTATTTTTTTTTTAAATCAACACATAAATGTTAATATTATTAATAATTTATTTTAAAAAAATAAAATCTTAATATATTATATTTTCAAGTTGCTCACGAGCTTTTCGAGTCGAATATCAAGTAGCTCATTTTTGGCTCGTTAAGAATTCGAGTCGAGCTCGAGTCGAGTCCATTCGATTCGAGTATTTATCGAGCCTTGACCAAGTCGATCTCGAGTAGCTCGCGATTTGTCTCGTCTCATTTACAGCCCTAGGCAGGTGGTTCACAAAAAGGTGGCAGTAAAAGTCGAATTAGTTAAGTATGGTGTAGTGGGGGTTAAGGATCAATCGTGTCCCTTGTGTGGCGCTTATCCTGAATCAGTTTCTCATCTATTTGTTTCCTGCAATGTCTCTTGGGATCTTTGAACGAGTGTGTTGAGCATGTTGAATGTCTCTTTTGTTGTCCCCGAGAGTCCGGCTGTTTTACTCTCGGTCTGGTTTCGTTTGGTCCCACATTCATCCATATGGACCTCTATTCTTGGAGCAATCTTGTGGTCGATTTGGAAGCAAAGAAACGAAATTGTTTTTAATAAAGGGAATCTTGATTGAGTTCAGCTTTTTTTCCTGGTTAGATTCAGAGTGGCATCATGGTTTTCTTCAAAGTTTCAAAATCATTCGGGCCTTTTTGACAGTCTAGTGCGCGATCTTTTGCTAGCATACTCCTACCAATGTTCAAAAAGGGTTTCTTCTGTTCGTGAAGGCTGGTCTCCTCCTCCGCCATGGTTCTTTAAGGTAAACGTGGATGGTGCTATGGATAGTCATTGGCAAAAGGGCGGCATATGTGGTTTGCTTTGGGACGAAAATAGTGTAATGTTGGATTCTTTTTCTTAGAAAGTTGGTTTTGGTCCTCCAATTTTTGGATTAAGAGTGGGCATCAAGGGGAAAGCTAATTTTAGAGTCTGACTGTTTAGTTGCATTAGGCTGAATCAATAATCCAACTTCTTGTACTCCTTTGTTTAAGGCAGTGGTGATTGACATTGTTAATATTGTGTCAAGTAGGGGTGTGGTTATTAGGCATATTATAGAGGTGTCAATTACAAGGCAGATGAGTATGCTAAATTGGGGATTGGTTAGTTGATATTTACTGGGTGGTTTTGTTGTTCGGTGGTAGGTGATGTGTGGATGCATTTTGGTATTTTGTACTCATGTTGTATCTGGTTTTTAGTAATAAAATCTTAAGGCACTCTTTTTCTCATTCCAATGCCCATTGAGCTACCTTTGTAATTTGACGGTTATAAATAAGGTTTTTAACGAGTCCTATCTTTTCTATCAAAAAAAAATCCCCCATAAATTTGTTTTCAATGAAGTATGTGGTGGATATAGAATTAATGTACACTTCACGGTTTTTCAAGAGCAGTGCCCCTCTTTTTTTTTTTTTTATTCTCTGAATTACTCGTCAATAAATTTTTACTCATCTCTAGGTTGGTGTTAAGAACAAAACCAGTGAAGTGCGGTCAAAGTTGGCCAATGTCATTCTGGCTGATGCTAATAAGAACCAGGTTTGCACTTTTCAATTGTTTGCATTACAATATGACATAATAATGTAATTTCATCATAGATTCTATATTTTTTTCAATATTAACTATATTTTCTTTGCATTTCCTCTATCTTCTGAAAAGAATTGTATTTGGGTAGTGCGCTTCCAAACAAAAAACATTAGCAACACTGTAAAAGCCTGTTTTCTTGCTTAGCAAGCAGCAGACAGACCAAATTCATACACAGTACATTCTAGTTTCCATTCCGCATTCGAAGAGGATGTTTGTTCTTGAGAAATATTTTAGGTTGAGATCTGGGCACTTCTGTTCTTTTCTAATTTTTTTCATCTCACGATGTAGATAAAGGTTTTCACAGTACCACAACTGCCGCAGCATAAGGAGCTCTTTGCATGCTTAAGTCCTTATCATGCAAAGCTTGTTGGTGAAAGTTATTTTGGGAGGAAAAGACCAGTATATGAGTGCACAGATGTGCAGGTATGCCTTTTGTCACCCTTGTCAGTTTTGGTTTTTCTATGTTAATCTTAAATCCGAAAGACCTTATGATGTATCATGAAAAATTATGCAATTCGAACATTCATGAGTGTGGTTAACTAATGTCTGAAATTTTGCAATATCAACTGTTCACAGTTATATTGTGAGGTCTAACAAGAAATTATATTTTCTACCATCTTGGGGTGGACTAGGCTACCACAATTTCTGAAGTTTATAAAGTTGATCACATCTCTTTATCAGTAAATTATCCATATGAACCATTGAAAATCTCTTATTTGTTCCATTTTGCATGATTGTTTGTTCAAAGTCATCTAATGAAGTGCTGCTGTCGTATTTCAGTGGTTTGCTAACTGTTGTCTTGATGTTGTTAATGGTTAGACTGAAGCAGCCAAAGGTTTTCTATCGGTGTTAAGATCATACATGGATTCTCTTTGCTCTAACATGCGGTCACACACTATTACAAATGTACTGTCGAACAATGATAAGGTTTGTGTTTGGCTGAATTAGAATATTTCAGCCAAGCAACTTTCTTTAGATGCTTCTTTGGTATCTGGACAAACCTACTATGCTGTTTCACTGCTGTTTCATACACTAATTTGTGAACCTTTTAGTTCTATCATAGATATCGCAGTTACCCAATCCAAATTGCAAGTTTAGTGTAAAAGTGATATGGATTGTACAAGGGGTCATAAGGGTTTTGATGGATGTATATTCTTTGTTGGCCTAGTGTTAGTTATGTGTTTACCAGGTTGGAGGATGGAGTTGTATAATGCAGTATTTATGTTTTATTGTGATACCTTGTTTTGTTTGAAAACAAATGATAAAATCCTGAAGTTCTTCCATGTTCAGGTATCATTGCTTTTAAAAGAGAGTTTCATCGATTCTTTCCCTAGTCGTGATCGACCGTTTATGAAGGTGAGTCCCTCGTTTCCCTTGACTAAATCTCTAGATATTTGCCTCAACTCCTGATTTAATAATTATAGTATATATTGGACCTTGTTTTCCATCTACTTTCATTTCGTTCGGGATGATTATTTCCGTATTCTCTTTTAAAGGTGCCCATGTTAAATAGCAAGTTTTGGAATTTACAGACAGTTTCCCCCCTCCCTTTCCCAGTAGTTTGTGGATCTTCACTGTACATACAGATCTTGTTCTCTCATTTATCCTGAAGGAATAGGACACACAACAATCATTCAAAGATGGCCTGCTATTGTAGTGTTATAACTTGGACATAAGTTCTGTGATGATTGTATAATGTTAAATTATGTTATCAATATCAGCTTCCCCCAAAAAAATGTTATATTTTGGAAAAATTATATATTTATTGAAAGATAATAACAATTTAACGAGATATTTATCCTGAAATGGGAATTTGATCAAGTTGTAGCATGAGAAATAGTTATCAAGCAGGAAGAGTGGAAATTTAGCATACGCGGTTCAGGTCAAATCAAATGTTTTTATACCCTTTTTTTCATTATTTGTGCTTTCTAATTCAAGGAAATGGTAATCGGTGATGTCCCAGTTTGCTTCGTCTCATAAATAAAAAGAAAAGTGTCGATAAATTTCATGGTATCTCTCGAAATTTACGATCGAGCTTGTTTTAAACCATAATGCTAGTTCCTGCAGTTCAAATAGGACAACCAGCAATTTCATGCAGAGGCTCTTCTTTTAAATTCCTTCCGTCAGTTCGAGAGATTAAGAAACGTGAATCTGCCTGCGCACAAGGGGAAAAAAAGACTAAAGCTTTGAATTTGGGGGCAAAGGCTTTTGTTTTCTGCTGACCAAACATTTTCTTTTGAAAAAAGGAACCATCTTTAAAGCAAGCAGAAGACTTGGTTTTAATGGCGCACAATCTAGTGTCGGCTCAATATTCCATCAAAACCTTCTGGCTGGTTCATTGACTAACAAATCTGATGGAAGTGAAGCTCTTTTATGTTGTCTTGAAACGCTATACAACAGAGTCAAAACAGTCAATAATCTGAGCATGAAGTGAATTACTCTCTAACCTATTGAGACACACCTTGTGCTAATACCCTTGTGTGGTCTGATGGTAGGGCCATGACCCCATGTGGCTCTCGTTTCGTAGACTCGATATAGTAAAGAGTCAGAGGACTAAACGTGGGAATAGTTAATGGGGTTTGAACATTGATATTAATTAGTGGCAGGTTTTTCAAGCTTTTGTAATCATAGCTGCAGAGAGTAATGAATGATAATTGAGAAGACAAGCAAATGCTTGGCGAAGTGGCACTGCTACGACCATAAAAAACCTTTGCTGGAATTACAAAGACATGAATGACCGTAAATATTTTTTCTTCAACTGTCAAAATGGTTACAGGTGTAGCCCGTTGTTGACCCAGATTTTGACGTTTGAGTCAGGCAGGTGGAGCCCTTAAAGCTAAGTCAGTGTGAGTGGTAGCTCCGGGACCATCAATAAAGGCCAATATTTCCCACTACCTCGCTGAATCACATGATCCCATAGATTTCAAAACCCAGTTATGCAATGCAAGTGGGTTATAAAAAACAATGAGGAGGGAGAAGTACAGGGTCAGTTGGTAAATATATGCATTTAGCTGTATTATTCATAAGCATCCAAGACCTCTTATATCCAAGGAATACAATGGGGAAGTGTCATACTTGTGGTCGAGTGTGTAATCTTATGTTTTTCCTAAAGGTTGTTTGCATGTGTGTGAAGCTGACATGGGGAGGTAAGGACAGCTCTGAACAGTGTCAAAGAGCCCTTTACTTACTTTGTACCAACACCTGCCAAACTTATAATACAACAATAGTACCTGGGATTTAAATGCTAGTCCTCAGGGTTTCCTTTATTTCCATTAATCCAGTCTCAAAATCTGTGATTCTCCAACTATTATGCCTTAATAGAACCATTCAACTTCTTTCCCATCACATGAATGCTTGATATCTTTCCATGCAATACAGTTGTCCTGAAACAAGGAGAAACAAAAGTATCACTGTTGAAAACAGTTGTGTTCATTTTAACCTCTTTTGGACCCTCCGTTAGCTTGCTATTATTATTTTAGGACATAGGAGGGATAATGAATAGTTGCCATAGAGCTTAGCTTAGCTGAAATAGTTATATATTATTTTATCACCACTTTTTCATTTAAAGAATATTAATACTTGGGTTTAGCAATGCAACGAGTTGATTCTTTCTTCACCCTTCACTAATAAAATAGGCATTAATGGTTGAAAGTTAAGACAGTGCCTAACTGAGGTGGTTTGGTTTCTGCAGATTGCAGACTTTAGCTACTTTACAAGAGAGACGAACCAAACCCATGTTCATCTCATTTGAGAATTAGGGGAAAACAACAGGCACAACATGAATATATATTTTATATTCAACATTGAGAAAAACAAAAGATAAATGATTAAAAAAAAAGTGGGAAGAGTTAGCCTGGTTAAGCCCCAAAAGTGCACCCATTAATCTTGTAAGTTTCCAGCTTCCCAAAGTTGAAAAAAGATATTGTGTATTGAGTGGGGTATAGTATACTATACTGAGGGTCTGAGGTAAATGAACAGAAAAAAAAAAGTAAAAAGAGTTAGAAGCAGTAAAAACCCAAAACCGTACTAACTTCTGAATTTCTGATGAGGCATTTGGCCTTCAGACACCAACACCAAATGTTGCAGGTTAAAATAATGCTACTATTAATAATAATGATCTCCTTTGTTTTTGCAGTCTACTATAGTTTGTGGGTTTCAGAAGTGTTGTCAGAAAGACAAGTGCTGCCACTGAGGGGCAGCTTAGCCTGCAGGACCAGAAAAAGCAGCAGAGAGGGTTCAGTCATAATATGAGAGCCTCCGCTCTCTCCTCAGTTCTCTCCCTCAGCTGTCAGAGGGAAGAAGAAGAAAAAGAGAGAAAAGGTCGATGGCATTGGCAGCATTATAATCAGAAGCATTAGTTTTATCCATGAACAGAAGATTCTGCAGTGAAATGTCCCTGAAATAAATATACCTACTCTATATACACAGTCAACATCAGCATTCAGCATCACAGGCTTCTTAAGCAAGAAGTAATGCACCCACCCAACAAACTTACACTTACAAAGAAACCAAACCTGTTCCATTTTCAATCTTTCTCCTCCGTGTTTGTTTGGTCTGAATAACTGCCTTTTTTTTTTTGCCCTTTTTTCCCACCTTTCTCATTTATTAGCTTTGCTTAATTTCAACAAATTTGTCATTGTTCCTCTCTTTGAATGATGAGTGGAAGAGACAGGTTTCCTTTTACTGCATCTCAGTATCAAGAGCTTGAACACCAAGCTCTAATCTTCAAGTACATGGTCTCTGGTGTCCCCATACCACCTGATCTCCTCTTCACCATCAAGAGAAGCTGCTTGGATTCCTCACTTCCTTCAAGGCTTTTCTCTTACCAGCCTCAACATAGTAAAACCCCAGACTTAACTCACTGTTTTTTTTTCTCAACTTATTTCCATTTTGGGTTTTTGACAACGAGATCCCTGTTGTTTTTTTGGCAGTTGGATGGAACTGTTTCCAGATGGGATTGGGGAGAAAAGTGGACCCAGAGCCGGGGAGGTGTAGAAGGACCGATGGAAAGAAATGGAGATGCTCGAAAGAAGCCTACCCTGATTCAAAGTACTGTGAGAGACACATGCACAGAGGCAAAAACCGTTCAAGAAAGCCTGTGGAAGTTAGTAATACAACAATGGCAAACCCTTCAACAGCAACCCGGAACATCTCATCATCTATAACCAAGGCTCATCCTTCTATTCCTTCCATGTCCTTGTCTTGTGATTCCCAAGAGCAGCACCATCAATTTCGCCACCATGGTTACAATCATCCCTTTATGTATCCACATGCATCGAGGCCTCCGGGGGTTGGCCTGTCATCTCAAGAGAACACCACCCATTCTCTCTTGGATTCTGGCTCGTACTCCCAGACAAACACAGATTACAGGTTCCATTACAAAAAATCTTGGGGTTTCTTTTTACTGTACCATCTACTGCTTTTTTGCTAATGAGTTTGTTTCTTGTGAAGAAGAAACAGTTATGTGTATGGGCTGAAAGAAGAGGTGGATGAGCATGCTTTTTTCTCTGAGCCTTCCGGAACAATGAGGAGCTTTCCTGGTTCTTCTGTTGATGATTCATGGCAATTTGGACCACTAAAGATGAGTTCTTCTTCCTCCTCGAAGCAGAGGAACTGTTCTGAATACTCTTACTTGCAGCTTCAAAGCCTCACCGATCACAGCACAAAACAAAGCAAGCGGGACGATGATGAGCAATGCTACATCAGATTTGAAATGCCTAATGAACTGGAGAAAGGAGAACCCCCAAAGACGGTCCATCGTTTCTTTGACGAATGGCCACCAAAACAAAGGGATTCATGTCTGGATTTGGATGATAAATCATCAAACAGCTCATCAGTTTCAACAACCAGGCTCTCAATATCCATCCCTTCCACCTCACATGACTTCCCCATTTTCAATTCAAGAACTCATAATGGTACCTATTTTTTTGGCTGGTTTTTGCTCCTAGCCATACGCTAATCTAATTTGTGACAATAAACTCCTTTCATATTTTGGTCTTAAAAACTTGAGAATTGTTTTTGTTTTTGTTTCTGCAGATGGTTGAATATCCAGTACCAGCAGTAGGTCTGCATTAGAGAACAATGATGTACTTGGTAGAGATCACTTCTTTCTGTGAATTCTGACCGTTTAGTAATCTTTCGTTTGTTTCTTCTGGTTAAATGAACATTGGGTTGTGTTTTCCCCCATCCCCCTTTTATTAATGAAGGATCCAATGACTTGTATGCTACTGGTTTGATGTTATTTTCCTACTGCAAATATACAGCTGATAAACATTAAGACTGGAAACATGATTTGCTGGTAGGTAACATGTGAATGTGTTTGAAGGGTTTTCATGTTGCATAGGCACACTTACTCAACCTGCTGCTTATTGTAATAATGATAGTTGGGATGGGGTCCCCCTGGCCCTATGTTCCCATGATTTGCTAATTTGTCGCTTTTGTGTGAATGCCTATGCATTGAAAAAGCCAAGCCGAAACAAATGGTCCACTGAAGACACCAACACGTAGTGCCAACAAGATATATAATGTCCTAAAAACACCATTGGAATGGTCCATAAAAGCTTGGAATTAGTTCTCAAAAAGGACTATATCATCTTAAGTATAAAGAAGCATCTTCCATTCCATGCAGACGTAGTTGCAGGCCACTTTTCACCATGTTCATCTTCATCTTTAGTGTTACACTAAGCTATCTCTTTCTTTTATGTACCCTGCCCTGCTCTGCCTGCTTTAGTACAGCAGTATGTAATGTGCCTGTAATCACCCAAAGTTCCCCACACAAACTACCTTTTAATTTGTATTTTAAACCAAAAGCAAACGAAGAAAACAAAAGGTTCACCACTGTTAAACAAAAAGCAGAGTAAAGGCAGTTAGATTGGTCCATAAAATACATGTTTCATTAGAGGAGACAAGGGTATTCAAGTCATTCACAACCTTCTTCTTCGGTCGGTCAATGAATTAAAGCAAAGAAGGTGAGGAAAATAAAGGAGAGGAGTTAGCCTGCAACACTTGTTCTGAAGGTTGGGTGGGCTTGCTTTGCCCACATTAACGCATCAGTAGTCAGTTTTCAGTGACCTACGGGTACGCTTTTTATCGTCCACGCACGCACGTCCGCCTCTGTCTTAGACTTCATCTTCTTTTTCTTTTATGTCAGTCACCCACATTTTAATCTCAACCTTTCATTTTGAGTAAAATAACTTATGATTGAATAAAAATAATTAATTGACTAACCATTAACGCTTAAGTTGATATGTTAAGTTCTATATGTTCAAGGTAATGACGTAATATATTTAACGTGTATATAAATAATGATGTGGCACATAACACTTGTTTAAATTAATGATGTGGCACATAACACGTGTTTAAATTAATGACATGATACATACCATCATTTGACGACAAACGCTTAATCACTTTGCGACAGTCTATAGTGCTCGAACCTGTAACATTTAGGAACAACAATGATTCCTTTAACCACTTAAGTAAATTGATTCGTGATTCGACATTATTTTTTTATTCCTTATTTCTGATGCTTCTAATAAAATATAATTTTTTAGCATTTTAATGTAACTCCATGATAATATTTGTCATGTTTTGAACTAAATAAATTTATATACACCTGGTAGATAATATTATCCTAACTCATCGTTCAAAGAAACATGTCACCATTAGCATAAGAATCCGATTTTAAATGAAACTTGAAATAATAAAGCTAAACTTCAAATATCTCAAAAAATACCAAATGATAAGATCAATTTTATTTATTTATAATAATAAAAAAATTAGGCCTACGTTAATGACCTATTTTTGTAGTTGTGAAGATTTCAGTTATAAAGATATATGTACTAAAATGCGTCTATTTCTTCGTTCAATTCAAACTCTTGCTCTTCGTTTGATCCTTAACCAGATAGATATTATTATCATACGCAAGTAATCATTTCATTTTCTTGTTTGAAGGCTTCTTTGAATTGATCGTCATCAATGGAACAAAAACAAACTACCAAAACCACTGCCCCCAGGAAGGTTTGTTTCCCTCAACTATGGTGCTTATCATCTATGGTTGAACTTCAGCAGTCGATCATTTTCTCTAAGAATTTTTCTTCTTTTTGGTTTCTTTGGGTATTTTGTTGCAGATGAAATTTGCACCCAAAGCTCCTACTCGCCGAGCACCGAAGCTTGAGGTTAAAACGTATATATCATTTGACACTTGGGAATGCAAGTCGTCTGTTTCATTGCTTAAAGGCCGACTTATTAATCTGTGTTTTTTTTTTGGTTGCTTTCGGGTGGGTTTCAGTGAATCGGTCGAAGACACTGATGCTGCTCAGGCCAGGAATTTCTAGAGCGTTTACATGTACACGTGTTTCCAAATTTTTATTGCCATTTTTCTTCATCCCCTTGATTTCCTTTGTGATCTTATTCTCATTTTATCATTTTATTCCCTCACAGCAAATTTCTGCAAAGACAGAGCCCAAATTCGAAAAGAAAGGTATATTCCTTATCTATTATTTGAAAACTTTACATGCACTCCCTACAAGTTGAAAATATTACTGTGTTCTACAACACAAATGAATACGATTTTCTTGACATGCATCAGCTGCTTCTTCACAAGTTGCATTTGGTTTTGGAGCGGCATCGGCATCATCTTCGTTTAAAATATTTGGTGGAATTTCCAAAGGTTCGAGTCGTAGTAGATTGGAAACACTCAATGTCAATGCCATATATACAATCCTTATATGTATATGCTGTTTTGTTAATGATTGAGATCCATTTCAGTCTGATATGTAGTGTTGATGTTTCTATAGGTAAAGTTCCTACTCCAGGATTGAGAGAAGAGTAAGAATACAAAGAACCATGGGTGTGTATGTTAACTTTGGATTATTATTAATGCAAACCATGATGAGACCCGTTTTCTAATTCTCCATTGATCGCTGATTGTAAGGTATATTTCTGCAGGATTATTACAGTTATTATCCCCTGACCCTTCCTATGAGGAGACCATATTCGGGAATTCCAGGTTTGTTGTTAGTTTCACATAACTTGTAAACACATTATGTGTGGCTTGATTGGAAGTTCGAACATCTTTACAAATTTGAGTAGCTTTATGTTGAATACAAGTGTAGAGTTTCTCGATGAGGAGGAGTTTGCTGCGGCGAATATAGCGTTCGATGAAAGTTTGGTTGAGCCAGCGGTAGAGTTTGGTCTATGGAACGACCGTCGGAGGAGGTCGAAGCTTTAGAACATCAAATCTTTAGATGGATTTTCCTTAATTTTGATACCGATCTTGTTGCGAATGACAATCTACCACGAATAAATAAAGACGGTTGAAGTTGACAATTTTTTTAAAAAAATAATAAAGGAGAAAGAAATGACGATGTCATCATGCATGCATCTCATTATTATTGATTTTTTAGAATTATAAGTAAATTAATTGTTACGAGTTCACAAGTGATTTACATTTACACTACATAAAAATATAATTTTCGCATCAATTCTATGAAGGCCTCGTGGATAAATTTTAAACAGCTTATCCAAGAGAGAGAGAGAGAGAGAGAGAGAATACACAAGCATCAGCAATGGTTAAAAATAAAAGATGCATTCAAGATTCAATCTGTCTCAATAAGTATTATTCAATGTTGAATATTGTTCCAAAAGCTTCCATCATTCAAGAAACGAGATTTTCTTTGCAGTTAACAATCTATGGTGACAATGTTGGCACCACAAAATCAACAACAATGACACCATCCAGATTGTCCCTGACCTTTTGTTTCTGTAGGTTCACGTACTCTTCCTTCCCCACAGCTGCCTCCATTTCTTCGACTCCGGCAAAAACAGCGACCGAGGCAAGCGAAAAGCCCTTAGCTCTTGCCGAGAAATTCTCCCCGCAAGTTAACTGTTGAACACCGGAGATCCCCTCCTTGATCCCTTTAATTTCCCCTAGAATCTCACCCTGCAATTCGTTTGGAACGTTCTCTTTGAGTTTCAAGAAGCTCACCTTGATGGCAGAACCGGGGGGAGGGGACAGCGGGTTGGGGTCATTGTCAGCAACCCAATCAACAGCCATGATATCATCACAGATGGGAACGACATTTTCCTTGACCACACGCTGGTGATCGGGATGAACAGAATATGCATTCAAATCTTCTTTGGACTTGTATCGGCTATGGAGCATGTGCGTGAAATTGGAGATCGGAGATTTGGTGCGAAGGACGGGACCAGCAGTGAGGTGCACGACGGGATCAAGAGAGACCAAGCCATTGAGGTTGCTAAGCATCAAGTTGACCTTTCCCTGCTCCGTGTCATCTTTAACTTTGAAAAGAACCACATGCTCAACAATGGACATGGTGATCGGGGATTTGAAGGTTTTTGTGGATAAAGCGACGGGTCTTTTCAGGTGTTTGAAAGAAGGGAAGGTGAGGGAAGATGAAGACGAAAAGAGAGAGCGAGCTTTCGAACACAGCATTAAAATCAACTACTAATGGACTAAAACTAATAAAACGTCTATGTACCTGCAAAATTGATATCATATTGGACGGATTTCCATTAAAAATATAGCTCAAAACTTTCAATCAAGCACAATTTCAACAACTATATAATTCAAACAAACCCCTACAGAATTTGCTAGAATCTAAAAGCAACATGAACATTTGTCTACCAAATTCATAAATGCTAAGCACCCATTTCAGATAACTGCCCTATACAATTAAATCTCTACCCCAAACCAAAAAAAACAACCATCAATCCCCAAAGTTCAAACCCAGAACTTGGAAATGCGTAAAAAGCAGAGACTAATAATCAAATCCCATTTGATGCAACCGAAAAAATTTCTACCGAGTTCTCTTTATCCGTTTAATCGAAAAGAAAACTTAAGGCAGGGCTAACAGAATTTGCAAGAAACTGAAAGCATAAACAGATCAGAAAGAAGAAAATAATAAACAGTTATACAGTTTGAGAATATAAAAGAACCGAGCTACTCCACTAACACTGACTGACCTGAGAGAAGCTATTGCGGCGCTGCCGAACTTTGCGATGGAATTGCAAATTTGCAACCGGGTTGAGGTTGGGGGGTCTTTGTTTCGTTCACCAAAGTAGGTGCAGAGCACGCGAGCAATAAAGCGCTATGTGGGCCGGCACATGATTCGATTGGTTGACGGGCTTATGGGCTGAATGGGATACTAAGAGGGATGGCGTTACCTTTTTCAGGTCATGAAGCCGCAGCTCGGCCGGGTCTCATCGTCATCCACTTGCTCTATTTCGTAATATAGGTAAATTACGTGTTTAGTATATAAACTATCAGTTTTGATCTATTTTAATACTTAGACTTTCAATTTTTTAAAAACTATACCTAAAGTTTAATTTTTATTTCATTTTAATATTGCGCCACTAAAAAAATTAGTTTTAGATTTATTTTAGTACTCCGTTCAAAATTTAACGTCAAGTTTTGAAGAAAAAAATGAAAGTATAGGTACAATTTTTTAAGTACTAAACACATTAAGTTTTTAACGAAAGAGTACTAAAATGAAATAAAAATTAAATTTTAGGTATGCTTTTTGAATTTTTTTTGAAAATTCAAGTATTAAAACAGATCAAAATTATAGTTTATATACTAAATATGTAATTTACCCTCTTTATATTTATGGGTAAAGTATAGTAATGGTCACTGAACATTTCTGAAGCTTGTATTTAGGTCCCCCAACTTTTAAAACTTGCAATACAGTCCCCCAACATTTATTCCGTTTGCAATATGGTCCCCCAACTTAAACCACCGTTATAAATTAGGGTAAATTATATAAAAGGTTATTGAACTTTTTAGACACTTGAATTTAGGTCCCCCAACTTTTAAAACTTGCAAAACAGTCCTCAATTTCATTCTAAACCCCAATTTCCAAAGTAATTCAATTTCATTCTAAACCTTAAATTCCAAAATAATTCAATTAAATTCAATTATGTCAGATTTATTATTATTTAATTTCATCTTATTTTATGTGATACGTATTTTTATATAAATATAATAGTATAATTCTTATCTGTTGAAAAAAATTTTTAATTAAAAAAAGTAGTTAGGATATAGAAGAGGTTGAAAATAATTCGAATTTTAAATTTATAAAATGTTATTTTGACGTATAAATAAAAGTGTAAACTACTAGGTTGACAACTTAACTATCTAGCTCTTTTTACTTTTGTCATCGATCTTTTAAATTTATCAATCATACAACATAATTATTTAACTGTTTCAACTAAGCCACTAGTCGTTACCAATTGATACAAATGATGAAGTGGCAGTTAAAAGGAATTGACATTATTATACATTCAGTCTTTATTATTTATATAATCAATTTGGTCCTAAATTAAATAGAATTTAATAAATTAATCATTTAATTAGGATATGACATGTGTTAACACATGATCATGACACGTGTCATTGGTGACACGTGTCATTGGTGACACGTGTCATTGGTGACACATGTCACCACCTAATTATTTATATATGCTATCAATTTGGTCCTAAATTAAATAAAATTTAATAAATTAATTATTTAACCAGGATCTGACATGTGTTAACCCATGATCATGATATATGTTATTGGTGACACATGTCACCACCTAATTAGAAGAAAATTAAGTTACAAAGAAGTAAAATTTGGGTCTTGGGCAAACTCAAACCTGAGTCATGCAAATGAAAGATACAGGGTGGAGCCACTAAGCTAACACCATCGTTTGTGTTAAGAGATATACAATAATACATATACTAATAGTATGACCAATGCCAGAAAAAAAGAATATAATGGAAAATGGAAATAATGAGATTTGAACTTTGGCAAAAAATTTGAAAGCAATAAATGATGGGAAAATATTATATTTTTTACAATAAAAAATATTATATTTGATAAATTGTTTGATAGATTTAATATATTTTTTAAATATTAGTTGATACAATATTTTAAAAGAATAAATTTAAGATTTATATATTTTTAAACTAAATTTAATAATATATTTTTCATATTTATAATTCATGATTATATATATAATCTTAAGTTGAGTATTTCTAATATAATTAATAATTTTAATTTCTTATTAAAAATAAAATATTCAAAAATATAAATGATTCATACATTAATATATGAATATTTTTTTATTTATACATCTAAATATAAATATACATTTATATAAATATATTTTTATTCGTATATTGAAATATTTTGATTAAAATATAAACATATTTTAAATACTAGTTTATACAAGAAAAATAAAATATATCAAAAATATAAATGATTCATACATTTAAATATAAATTGAATCATTTATATTTTCTATACATCTATATTTAATAAGAAAATAAAATTATTGGGGGACTGTTTTGCAAGTTTTAAAAGTTGGGGACCTAAATTCAAGTGCCTGAAAAGTTCAATGACCGTTTATATAATTTACCCTAATTTTCTAACAGTGATTTAAGTTGGGGGACCATATTGCAAACGGAATAAATATTGGGGGACTGTATTGCAAGTTTTAAAAGTTGGGGGACCTAAATGCAAGCTTCATAAATGTTCAGTGACCATTACTATACTTTACCCTATATTTATTTGCACTCTACAGAGAATGGGTCCCCATGTGAGAACCCACTCGCATTCAATTGCATGCTTGTCCCTTCACTCCTTTTCATTCCTTCCCCCCGGTCCTCTACGATTTCTCAAACTTTTCATTATTAACGTTATTGCTATGCCTAGTTATGATTATTATCACTATGTTAATATATATAGATTCTATACTAAATGAATCAGAGATGCATATAAAAAAGATAATTATTAGTAAAATTATTGCAAAGACATGTTTTGCATTTTAAAAATGAAATAAAACTGATATGTAGGTATGTGAATGAATTGAACGTTGTTCAGCGAAAAATTCGTTTATGTTCGTTTATTTATTAAATAAATGGACATGAATAATATTTTATGTTCGTTTAATTAAATGAATGAACACGAATAAAGAGTTTGTCCGTTCATTTACGTTAGATAATTTGTTCGCTTATTTATATTCGTTCATTTATATTTAGTCAAATCTCTAGCCTAGTTTAAAATTTGATGCCCTAATAAATTTTAATCTTAAACTCATTAATATTTTAAAAATCAATTAATTTTAAACTGAAATAAAATTTACTCAAATTAATTAAATAAAATATAAAGTATTTTTTATAAAAAAAACTCTTCTCAAATATAAACTCAATTAATTTTATGTTCGCTCGTTCATATTTGTTTACGTTCGTTCGTTTGAGTACATTTATGTTCGTATGTCATTTTAACGAACAAATGTAAACAAATTACAACCCTTAATGAATGACTACGAACAAAAAGTTTTGTTCGTCTATTTATTCGTGTTTGCTTGTTCGATTGAAGTTAAACTAATAAACATAAACATGTTCTCGTTAATGTTCGTTCGGTTTATTTACAGTACTATTAGTATGGTTTTAAAGATGGAAAATAACAAGTGTATTTGGTTGGGGAATGTGAGATTCTCATGGGAATGAAATCTACATTCCCATGTTTGGTTGGCCTCATTCCCGGTAATCTTACATTATCAATAGTGAATTTTTTGGGGTATATTACCGGGAATGTCATAACCTCCCTTTCCTTAGGTATTGTTGGATTACCGGCATTTTGGACTAAAATGTCCTTAATTTTTTTTCTTTCAAAAATATTCTTATTATGTCATTGAATAATAAAAATTCTACGAATATTAAATTACAAATTTCTCCTTAAACTATTTTAGATTTACAAAAAAAAAATATATAATTAAAATTTTATATGAAGTTCAAGGGTTAAAATATAATTTTAACCTTTCATTAAACTTTTTATATTTTAAATTTTGTAAAAAAAATTATATAAATTTTATGGATTTAATTTTTTTAAAGAAAATATATAAATATTTTCCAACTTGTTAAAAAAACAAATATATAATAAGGACAATTTGGTCAAATATACATTCCAATAACCTTTTATTCCTTTAACAAAATATGGTAATCTTACATTCCTGCTAAACCAACTAAACACAAAATATAACATTCTCAGTAATCATATTCTCTGGTATTCTTTTATTCCCACTAATAATCTTACATTCCGTGAACCAAACGCACCCTAAGAGCAATGGCCGACGGATGGACCGTTGCTCTAATAGTGGGAACAGAAACTGAAACTAATTACAGCTATTCAATCATTAAGTGCATTGGGGTTCAAAATAGTGGTTTAACAAAAGGGTTTTCTAAAACATGTTTTAGTAAAAAAATCGATTAGTAATTAAAAAATATTATATTTGATGCATGATTCTTAATAAATTGAAAGAAAATATAGTTTTATTTTCCCTTTTAATATTACTTCAATAATGTAGTTTGGCATAATTATAAAAAATGTCATTGGGCACTATAAAAAAAGGTGGGTCATTGGCTCATTGCCTCATTGCCTCATTGCCATCGCCATTTGGATGCTGAGCTATTAGCTGCCTGCGACCTGCCAATGTCACGCCGAACGTTTACGATTAATTAATTTTATAAATAAAAGAATAATCAGTTTGAAGGAAGTAAAATATTTTAAAAATATAAATGTATATTATGAAAATTTTAAAAATAGTTTTATTAAAAAAACATTTCACATGAGATCTAATAGTATCACAAAAAACTTCGAATGAATTGTTATTAACTCGAAAATTATGTAAAACTAAATAAATATATTAATTATCAAATAAGAGAATATATATATACATTAAAAGCTATATTTTATTAAAAAGTAAATGATCAACCCACATAGTAAACGTGAGATTTTTAATTATATAACCATTTTTGCCACAGAAGGACTCAGCCTCAAATGGCTTTATTTTCACTTTTTTATAGAGGAAAAAGAAGCATTATGCCCAGATAAAATCATTGACTAAATTTTATCTCCTGATTCCAAAATTAGTCCTAAATCGTTTTATTAATGTTTTACGGTTAAAAAATCGTTTTCTTTAAAAAATCAATTAATTTTGTATTTAATTAAATTTCTGAAAGAAAAATAGTATTTAACTAAATATTTTAATTGATTGTTTTTATAACTAGTTATTGTTGTATTGATTTGATCATCAATATCAATTTTTTTTGTTAAGTTAATGTGATTATAAAGTAGTGTTTGTTCTAAATACTCTCCTATTTGACATTGAACACTCAATTAGGGATGAGCATGAGACACGTACTTGATGGATTCTAATCCGACCCGACCATGTTGGATTTTTTCTTAAAAAAATCTGGATTCGGGTTCAGCTTTAGGGTGAAAATACCCGACTCAACCCAACCAAAAAATAATAGTGTTATGTTATATATTTAGGGATTATTACAATAGTGTCACTCTATATATTATTTTTTCAATGAAATTCTTATTTTTATTGAATAAAATTATTTTTAATAAATATATTATTTCGGGTAGGGTCAGTTTCGAATTTTATCTCAAAAAGTTAGATCGAGATCGGGTGGAGGGTATAAAATTTTCAGGTCGGGTCGAGTTATATATAACTTGTTAAACTTTAGATAAATAATAAAATTAAAAAAACATTTTAGAAATATAAGTAGGTTAATAAACCAAAGATTTCTTACTCCAATTTTTAATTACATCAAATTACATAATCTTTTATTTTATTATAATTGGATTGCCAATTTTTCTTATTTCAAACTATTTCAATTTTATATGAACGAAATTACTTAAATATCACATCAAATAACTCATGTTTTTTCTTTAAATAATCTACATTATAATAAAACAGTATATTTATAATTTTTCTTAATCATTAACAATATACATCTTGTAAAAGTAGATATTTGAATCGAAAATTTAAGAAATAATAATACTCTTTTTAATCATTAATTCACTTATTTCCTCCGTTCTACTAAATGTGTCTCTTATGATTTTAAATTTATCTCATTCAAAATATCTTATTAAAAAAATCAATAAACAATAATATTTATATTTTTTATTATTATATATCTCATTCTTTTATACTCATCAAAATAAATTAACCAAATCTATCCATCACTTTTAATGATAAATTTTATAGTTTTTATCAAATATATATTACAAGATTATATACATAGTAAAAGACAATAAACAAATAATAGGAATATACGATATGGAGGGTAATAATTATTGCCCTTATATATTTTTAAATTAAAGAAGAATAAACGAGAGGGGGACAAATGAAAGTGCGTCGTCCGTATAGTACTGATTGAGGCGCAAAAACAATGGCATCGGATTTCGTGCCCCCTATTTTTACAGGTAGAGATTACTGTTCGTATATTTGTTTATCTTCCGCCTCGCTAAAGTTTTAACAACTCGTGGCGCGTGATTTAGCTGTGGACCCAGGTCGCAGCTTACCGGGTAAAGGAATCATTTTATCTGGACAGCCTCGATCCCAACCTCACTTGACACGCGTCTGTCTGCAGTTAGGTTATAGAACAGTTGTTTATGGCTTTGCTTCTTTTTCAGGTTGTTTCCATGGAGAGTAATTCCATTTTCTTTCTTCCCCGCATGTTGTTTTGGATTATGGTATAAAAATCGGCTTTTATCTGTTCGATATTATTTCTTCGAATATTACTGATTTAGTACTTTTTTTTTTGATAAAATTATAATAAAATGTGTTTTAAGATATGCGCATTGTAGATATAGATAGAAGACACGGATTATGAAATACGTCTTTTTAGGGTTCTATTCAAGCTGACACTACAATAAAAAAACACGGATTATAATCCACGCCTTTACAGGAAATTTGACAAGTAGCGAAAAGCGATGATTATGATTCACACCTTTCGTTAAATTACCACCTACTCCTTTAATCGCATAACCCCCTCTTATCTCCCTCCTATAAATACTTTTTCATACAACACTCAAAGCACACCAAATTTTTTTATTATATCCCTTATCAATCCTTATAGAAAACTTAAGTAAATTTTGCTATCGTTTTAAGAAGTGATAAAATTTTTATTATATTATAATAATTTAATAATTTATTATATAAATTTTATTTAATTAACTAATTTTCTTATTACGTACTTTTTTGTAATTATAAAATTGAAGGCGGGTTACTATGCTTAAATGAGAATCATGTTTCGAGTCATTTTGTTGATATGATAATAATTTTAAATTGTGTTATTTTAATTATTTTGAATGTTTTATTTATTTATTTATTTTAGTATAGTTTATATTTTTATTTTTATATTATTTATTTAATTAGGGGAATGATTGTATATTAGATTCATTTATTCGTAACATTAAGTTAGAGATACCGAGTCGTGTTTGTCTATATTTAGCTTAGGTTGGATTTGATTAAATAACGAAATATGAAAGACATTGTAACCTTGAATCTAATATTTTTTTTGCACTGATTAAGAGGTAGATACTAGAGACACACACATTGAGGTCGAAGCAGCTCGCAGTTGAATGCCTCCCCCTGGAACTTGAAGACATCATGTCAAATGATGCTGAACAAATTGTTTTGTCGAGGGCATCGACATATTAAGGTCAAAAAAATTGGCAGATGAATGTATTCCCCTTGAACTGTAAGTGATGTTGCCAGACGGATTGTTTGTGAAGCCACCTCGGTAGAGATTGTAACAAGTTGCTGATGAATGTCTCTTCATTGAACTTGATGGGATGGTACAAGGATGTGAATTATCATTAGCGAGTTAAAACCATTACACATTATTTGAGTTGAGCTGTCAACTTGATCAGCTTGTTGAGTCAGCCCATAGTGAGAGCATAATGGCATACCATGAACCATAGACACTTCAACAAATGTGACATACATTTGTGTAACAATGTTTGAATTTTGATTATGAGCATCGACCATCATAGCAACATCATCTTCGTTTGAGAGTTCGAACGCTATATAAGTTAACGAAAATAGTGCAATTGAAAAGTTGTACTGAAGTGCGGACAATCTTATAGTACTTTCAACATTAACATTCCTTGAAATTTTAGTGATCAACTCATCAAAAATGATGTTTCTCTGGAAGGAAAAAGTGATAGAATAATTTGATTCGAAGATAACACTGGTTTCAGCTTCCCAAATTTATATATCATAGTAAACAATAACTGAAATAGCCTCATTTTAAGAGTTTGAGAGTTTAAAATATTGAAAGTCTTATATCAACAAAAATGAATAATTGTTTCTAATATACGACTATTCTCCTAATTAAATAAATAATATACGAATTAAAATATAAACTAATACTAAAAAAATAAAAAAATATTCATAATAATTTAAATAACCCAATTTAATATTGTTACCGTATCAGCTAAATATCTCGAGATATGAACATACCTTCCATTTTACAACCGCAAAAAATAATAAAAATAATTAGTACAATAAAAATTGGTCAAATAAATTAAATGTAAAAAAATATAATATATTAAAAAATAATTTTACATTCTGAAAATTATAACAAAATCTACTTGATAGAAAGAATTTATAAAATGACGAATATGAATGTAATTTTAGTGTGGTTTGATATTTGAATTTTAGGTATTTACAGGGGATGAGTTGTATGAGATTTAAGATAGTTGTGGTAATAATAGAACATACAATAATTGAGGAGGAATAATTGAATATGTGCTTCATGATCTGCGTCTCATTGATGTGTCAGAAAACCCCGCGAAGGCGCGAATTACAATTTGCGTTTTCCCACCGTGGCGTTATCTCGGACGGAACATCAGGAAGGCAGGCTTCATGAACCACGTCTACAAGGGGTGTATCCTAAAACACGCTTTATTATCACTCTGTCAGAATGGGTGTTAGATCGGTAATATTTGAAGAAAGAGCATGTGATAGATGATTATTGATTGTTGAGGTGATTTTTGAGTAAAAACGCCATAAAAATAATTGTTCATTAGTTTATAATTATAAAATTAACAATTTATAAATGAATGATTAGTACATTTATGTTTTTTCTTTTCTTTCAATAATGCTTTATTTTTATAAAGTAAGATAGATTAATTCAATCTGTTAAATATTTTTTAATATTTTAATAAAAATTAAAATTCTAGTTTCACTCATATTTTCGGTGTGCGCAACTGGCGTATTCTTTTAAAATATGAGAAATTTATCAACAATTTTTAGAATAGATTGTTAAATGTTGTTATATAACATCTTTCGTCTCTTTAAATTGCGAGTTCAATATCAAGGGTGGATGCATTAAGTCTCATAAGGGGTCAATTATATCACATTATTTAAGAAAAAATATGAAATTTAATCATTTAAAAAATGTGAAATTTAGTTTAATATTTTAAGGGAAAAATAAAAAATGAAAAAAAATATTTTTTTTACATAATCATTATTTTTAAGAAAAAAAATATTAAAATATTAATTTTTATTATTAAATTTATGGATCAGCTACCGTTTAATACCATTGGAAAGAAGAATTATTATTTCTTTTCTCTCTGAATAATAACTATTGAAAACACAAATGAAGCATGAAAATTTAAATTTGGAAATACGAAAAATAACAGAGTAATCAACATCAAACTATAAGTTCACAATAATACCAAAATAATAAACAAAGTTGTTTACGATATATTGGGTCGTGGGACCGTTTCAATTCATGTATGGTAATTTTGCATATAGTTTAAATGCCACGTGGCAACTAATGATCACCAGCTCGAATCCCTCAACATCTTCGGATCTGAGCAAAACACGCATAATCACCGTTTTGAATCGTGGTTGCATTTTCTATTATTTCGAATTTATCATGATTGTGGTCGTCGTAGGTGTTATTGAACATTATTATAAATATAACGAGTAACTTGGATAGCGATAAAACCTTATTTCGTGAATGAACTCACGTTTTCAGACTGTGATTTGAACCATGCACAGAAGAGCAATCCTATCCCATTGAATCCCAAAATAACAATAAATAAAAATAAAATTAACAAAAACAAAACATGTTGGTATATATAATTATATATATATATGGATAATATATGGAACTATCCGTAAATTTAGACCCAAACCGAAGGGGTCTGAGAGCGTGACTGTCAAATATAAATATTCTCTCTCTCTCTCATAATTCAGATTTTTTCTTTTTGTTTCAGTTAAATCGGAGATATTTTCCCACTGTTTCCCGGGAATCCCTTGTCTTCCTCGTTTCAATCTTTGTATCCTTCGCCTGATATAATGCTCCAGATTTTCAAGGTACGTATTTAAGATAATTTTTATATGATTGCCATGTATATGAATGAATTTTGAATACATGTACAGATAATATTTGTTTCCTTTGTGCAGTAATATTAGTGGGTTTCTTCTCCTGTAGCTCATGGATTTTCTTTCTTAAAAGGCTTGGATCTTATCACCTTCTTGGTTTTGTTTCATCATTTTTTTTGGGGACGGAAAATCTGGGAACTTTGGAGATTTTATGAGTTTTTTTTTGCCAAATGGGTGATGGGGGGTTTTATGCTTATGTAACTTAAAGTACGTTTTTATTTTTAGTTTTGGAATTGCCAATTCAAGGCCATTGCTTTGGTTTAGATATTCCCCTCCCCCTCTCCCCCGAATTTGAACAAAATTTCATTTTTCTTTGTGTTGAATGTAATCTAATTTTGTAAGCATTTATTGTTTGATTATTGTGATTTCGGATTTTCATCTTTGTTTGGAAAAGATTTATGAATATAACGCTGTCTCTCTCTCTATATTAATGGAGTTCTCTCTCATGATTCATGTGACTAATCTTCTCTAAACCATTGACTAGTTTTCCCCCACTTTCTTTTCGTTCTTTGTGATTCTTCTATGAAAACAAGGGATTTAGGTGGGTAGTTTCGAAGAAAATTAAAAAAGGATTCCTTTTATGGAAATGGGATCTTCTTTTTCACATTCACATTCACATCATAAATAATATTAATGATAGCAACTATAACAGTAATAAAAAAATAAATTAAATACTGATATTATTATTATCATGTTTGTTAACTGATTCTTCTGTGAAAAGTAGAATCCATGGATGTCCTGATTTCCAGTGCAGGCTTTTGTCTCTTATGCCTTTATCAATGTCTCCGATTCTTTGCTTTATTGAAACATGTTAGGAGTTCATATATAATAACGAATATTAACTTGTTTCCTCTTTTGTATTTCCGGATTCAGGTCTGATTTCGATTTGATACAACTCTGACTCAGAAGGAAAAGAGACAATGGAGGGTGACTCGTTCTCAGGGATCGATAATGGAACTCAGTTAGATGACAGGGTGTTGCAGATATTTCAAAAGAGCTTTGCTCAGGTCCAGAATATCTTGGACCACAACAGGCTTCTCATCAATGAGATAAACCAGAACCATGAGTCCAAAATCCCAAACAACTTGAGCAGAAATGTTGGTCTAATCAGGGAGCTCAACAGCAACATAGGAAGAGTTGTGGGACTCTATGCTGAACTTTCAAGTTCCTTCACCAAATCCATGGATACCTCATCCGAAGAGGACTTGAGTGGTGCTATGAGATCAGATGGCAAAGCTGGTCACAAAAGAACCAGGCCTGTTTGATGTAGTTGAAAGAAGAAAAGAAAAAGTTAGGGGTCTCTTTTGTTGGCAATTCTCTTGCATGGTGGCAAAATGGAGTAGAAAACTAGAAAATGGTCAGATTTTGTAACTATCATTCTCCCCTCTGTATCTGTCTCTAGTTCTCAAACTTCACGTTTGTTTGCCAAAAGTAATAGGTCTAAGATTTCTTGTACTACACTGTAACTCTCTGTAACTTTGGATCTGAAGTAAGCATATATGAGGATTTGGGGGTGTTCATTAATTTCTAAGTTTGCTGCTGTATCTTCGAAATGGATAACGAAAAGATTATTACCTCTGAAGGTAAACCATTTCTTTTTCATCTTGTAAATGTTGCTTTTACCAGTAACTGGTCTTTATTTCTGTAAGGGATGGATCGAAGGATGCTCGGGTGCGGTCGTACTCTCTAGAAATTTAAAATTCCATTTTATTTTAGATATTTTTTTATATTTTATATAAATTATTTAATTTCACACCCCTCATATATTCGCACTCCTTAATCAAAATCTCGCATCCGTCCCTACTATCATACCCTTATAATTTCTTAAATTTTCAACTGATAATGAAAAGATAGGTTTTTAAGATCTTTTGGTTTATCTCAAAGAGGCTGATGTCTGCAATAATCAGTCTCAGTTATTTATTTTAACCGTCAGAGTACAAAGACTGGATGATAATAAATTAAAATCTACTAAAATATAATGATGAAATGCAGAATTAAGTCTGATTTGTTTGGTAAAAATATAATGTACTTGTAAAATCATTTTACTGGGAAATATAATAATGAATTGAAGAAGTTTAATGTTATTAATCATGTTAAAGTGCTGAAGATTAAATAATAGCTAAAGGGTGTAATCTAATGTAGAAAACTAGAGCCTGAAAGCCAAAGACAAAACACAACATGTGAGGATGGGAATCTACTTTTTCCCTTCCATCCTTTTTGTTCCTTACATTTCCACAGTTAGGTTGGAAAAGGAAGAAAACAATGTCCTGTCCAAAAGTTTCCCCTCTTTTATCCTATGAAAAAACAAAAGGATCTTAGAAGGGGGTTATCCACATCATCATCATTATTATTTCTGAGCCATCATTATCATTAGTGTTGGATAATTTAACACTTAATAAAGTTGGATTAGATATAGATTTTTTTAATCATCTATATCTGATCTATAGAGCGATTAATTCGAAATATTGCAGAGGTCGATTATAAAGGTAACCCTCTCAATCTAATTTGTTCAATTTTATAATGAAGTCAAATCTCTACTTTTATTAAAATGATCTAATATCTCATCCCACTAAACCAATTGACTATTAGTGGGTTAGATATATATTAATGTAGAGATTATTTCACTTAATTCATATAATTATGGATAAATTTTGCATTTGGTATCTAAACTATTACTTTTGTTCCGTTTTAGTACTCAAATTTTAATTTTTTCTTTCTAAAACCGTAGCTATCTTTTAGTTTATGTTTTATTTGGTACCCGTAGTTAAAAACTTAACAAAATTGCCAACATGACAATTTTTTTTTCATTTTTTTCCAATTTTGAGGTGACATTATCTTATGGTACAAACGTCATCATTTCTGTTAAGTTTTAACAACGAGATACTAAAATAAAACTTAAACTAAATGTTATGTATGGTTTTGAAAAAAATTTAGGTACAAAAATAGAACAAAAATAATAATTTAGATACTAAATGTGTACTTACCTGTAATCAATTTTTTTGAAAGACCCTATAATCAATTAACTAATGGGTGAATGGACCATTTTCCGGGCCTTGACCCGTGTTCTGAGTTCACGGAGAACCGATCATCACTAACTTTGCTGAAATAAATATTCATCCAAAGCCCAATGTTTGGGGTCCAAAACCCACTAAAAACCCTAGTCAGGAATCGATATATTCATTTTGATAGAGTGTGTAGAGCTTCGGCCGTCTTCTTCAGATTTCATATCTCTGCAACTTCCCTTCTTTTCAAGTTTCACTCCACCCAAGCCTAAAAAAATCATGGCGGCAGCTCAAATCAGCAAAAAGCGAAAGGTAACGTCTCCCATCTCGTTTTAGCTTCACTTACTATTCCATTTCCCGCCATTTCTTTAACTAGTGTTTGTTTATTTGCTATTGCATTCAGTTCGTCGCTGATGGAGTCTTCTTCGCGGAACTCAACGAGGTCTTGACCAGGGAACTGGCTGAGGATGGATACTCTGGAGTCGAAGTAAGAGTTACTCCCATGCGCACAGAGATCATCATCAGAGCCACCCGCACCCAAAACGTTCTCGGTATTTTTTATATACAAATCTTGTTTCTTCTACTGCTTCTAAATACATTTTTTGCTCTTTGGAGTTTAAACTTCGATTATCGGGGATTGTAGGCGAGAAAGGTAGGAGGATCAGGGAGCTTACCTCAGTGGTTCAGAAGCGATTCAAGTTCCCCGAAAACAGCGTCGAGCTTTACGCTGAGAAGGTCAACAACAGAGGCCTTTGTGCTATTGCTCAGGCCGAGTCTCTTCGCTACAAGCTACTCGGAGGTCTTGCCGTCCGCAGGTACATACTCAAATACAAATCTAAAGGTTGCTAATGTTGTTTATTCATTCTTTGTTGTTTTTAAATTATTGGTAAAGTCATCTACAAAGCAAATTGGTTCTTCACTGTCAATTTTTGTGTCGGAAGGTGACAAAAATAATTAAATAATATATTTCTTCCTTTACTTTATCCTGCTGAAATGCATTTGGTTTTTGTGCAGTAAACTTAGGGGAAGAAACAATGTTAAAATTTTCCAATTCTTAATTATCCAATTGCGATATGTAATCAAATTTTGTTCTGAATCGATGAATTTGAAAAATGTCGAATGATGCTTTGTTAGTGCTTGTGTATGTTCAATTTGAATGTTTCCAGTTGTTAGCTGACAAGTTTTACTGTATATTTAGTCATCTATAAAGCAAATAGGTTATTTCTACTAGACTAATGCAATCCACATTTAAATTATTCGGTTTGAAATTCAATGGTTTTAATTCAGTAACATTTTGGAGGATATGAATGTTTTTCTCAATTTCATTATTCAGATTTTGGTGTGATTAATTCATCTCCATATTGATTTTTTTTTGTATTTGCGAACACGAAATGGTATAACTTTGAATAATTTTCTTTGTGCGTTTAACCTGATACTTCGGATGGTTTGTTCAGGGCCTGCTATGGTGTACTGAGATTTGTCATGGAGAGTGGTGCTAAGGGATGCGAGGTTCATATTCTAAGTCTATTTTGGGGTTTATATGTTTCTTCTATCTTTATTCGACTTCTTTTTAAAACTTGTAATGTTTTGGAAATAGGTTATTGTTAGTGGAAAGCTAAGAGCACAGCGTGCCAAATCTATGAAATTCAAGGATGGATACATGATCTCTTCCGGCCATCCAGTCAACGAGTATATCGACTCTGCTGTCAGACATGTTCTTCTGAGACAGGTTTGCAATCGTTTTGTTTAGATTTTACTCTGTTGTGACCCCTTTCGCGCGTCATTTTTAATCAATTTATTGGTATAGGGGGTGCTCGGTATCAAGGTCAAGATCATGCTCGACTGGGACCCTAAGGGCAAGCAAGGCCCAACAACACCACTTCCTGATCTTGTCACAATCCACCCTCCCAAGGAGGAGGAAGTTTTTATCGGGAAAGAAGAGCCTGAGCCAGCTGATATTGTTGAGGTTCCTGTGATGGTTTAGGAATATCCTTCTGTTTGATTTGTAGGACTATGCGAGTTTCTTTGATTTTTGTAGCTAAAATTTAGCCTTAAAGACAGCTTCAGCTTGTGGTTTGGATTTTTTTTAAAACTTTGTTATGTTATACTAGGATTGTGACGTATTAGTTTTGTTCGAGTGCTATTTAAAATATTCATAGTCGTATTTGGTTCTGCGGCTACATAATTTTATTTAAAATCTCCATAATCGTATTTGAAATAGCTGAAGTGGAAGCCATTGGTTTTATTTCTTCTCTGCTCTCTCCTTGTCTAAAAACCTTCAATTTTCTCTGCTAGAATGAAGGGAAATGGAGGGAGGGGGTCTCAAATATCCTACGTGGCAGATTTAAATATCTTCCAATCCAGTTTTCTTTATTTGTAAATGTCAAAATTCGAATATCTGACATTGCTTAAAGGATATAGTGTCTCATTTCAATTGACTTTTGTTTTTTTTTTAATTCAGTTTAAGTAGTAGTTTTTATCGATTAATGTATATAAGAATATTTATGGTTGTTCCTTGTTCTCATATGTAATGGGGTAAGAGGGAGGTAAGATAGTAGGCTGCCTCCAACACTAGGTTGAGAGCAGTTTCCTTAGGATACCTTCAAATTATGAAATGTCTTCCATGAGATTCGATTTCACGATCTCAAGGTTAAGAACTTTGTGTTCTACCAACTGAGTTGGAAGATCATTTTTATATAAAAGTATTTAGATTATTTTAATAGCAATTCAAATCGAATTATCAAAATTTAATTTTAAAACACTTCTTAATAAATCCAATACGTGTATTCAGACGAATAATATAAGCCAGGAACAAGTGATTGAGAAACAAGAACCTGTTTTCTATTGAATTTTTTTATGCATTAGTATATATATATAAGATATTTTTTTTAAAATACTCTCAACCATTAAATTTAATATTTAATATCGAGGTCCTTAACATCGTTCATAATGTTTGGGTTGCTGTTGGACCCACTGAATGGGGCAGTCGGCTAGCTTTTTATGTACGGATTGATTAGGTTTGACGGTATATATTAAAAGTTACAAGTACCGTAAATTCGATGTAAACAGACAGGCAAAGCACGGAGGATCAAAGAAGAAATTGAAAATGATATTTTCTTGCCACCACCTAGTTGATGCTCTTTATGATCAACCACCAGTTTTTAAGAAACCAATGTCGACGATGTTAACCGGTTTCAAAAGAAAAATAATGATAATAAAATTAAGCTTCTATGAAGCTGGGAAAACTTAGTTGCTCAAGATACCAGTAGGCAAAAACCACCTGGCTTACTTCACTGTAGAAAGGGTTCTACAAAAAATGTGAAAATTACTCACCCTCCCCACAATTTTTAGTAGCACCAGAAGATTGTATAGCCTCATTTATAGGTACTGTTCATGGATCCTGGCTCGGTTCTCTTCCCACCACAGTCTAGCATGCATCTCCCCAAATCTTTCTCGGCTGCATCACACAAGCATAAAGTCATTGAAAAAAACACTACAGTTTCTCGGTAAAAAAAGATCATGGTAAAAAGAAGGGTTCATGGTAGATTTGGGTCCGCATGGGATGGGAGTAAAATTATTAGCGAAAGCAGAATAAGTGAACCGGTAATAATGCTGTAAAAAAAACAAAGATTTCCAGCTTAACAATGGAATCATTTCATATCATAATTGTTTCTCTAAGGTGGACCTTAATCATAGAATTGACCTGTGTTGGACCCATCAGCTTAACAATGGAATCATATCCATAGGTAAAAATGGCTTTGCTGCCTATCGACGACAATGCATAAAGTAAACCACTAGATTTGGCCTCGACAGATAGCAGATTTACTACCTATAATATTCCGTAAAATACAATAAAAGCCATTAATACCAGAGAAGTAAATTGCAAGTTACATCGCATTCTACCTTATCATTGTCCTTAATATACAAGAAAAGCTATTAAATAACAAATCATGGCATGGATGGGAGACATCGAAGCTATGATGTCAACTAGCAATGAGATCACGGCAACATTTATTAGGCTCATATATTTGCTAAGATGAAACTTTGGGGTATTTGAAAGTTTCTAAAACGTTTCAAGTGCCAATAACAGTTTGACAGATTCATGCAAGCACATTTGTATATATGTCAAGTTAAAGAATGTCATAAAACTATACCTGAATCTAACTCGCCTAAGCTCCCTTTTGCCCCCTGGCAAGGCTTTGATAGTAATGTAAACCCCTGGCTCATCTTGTTCGACCCATTCAGTCTCGAGATCACTGGCATTGCTCATGGAAAGCTCTGCGGAGCGATCAGCCTCTCTTGATGAGCTACTCATAGAGGCATCCATCGATGATATATCTGTCTTGGCACCACTCATACTTGAAACTTTTGGAGTTGAGGCAACACCAGAGTCACAATAATTCCGAGCCTGCATCGGGTTCTGATCAAGTGAATCTGAGGATGAGTATCCGACACTCAACCCTGTTGGATGGTATAAGTTACGAGGTAATCGTTCTCTACTCAATGGCGGTGTTACAGGGCTTGCTTCTGCTGATTCCATTTTCGAGCTCTGGAAGGAATCAAAAGAATGTTGTTACTAACATTGGAAAAAATAAGCCTCGATTCAATTCACACTATCTTAAGCAGCAGGCAACGGCCTAAGAACTAGCCTCGTCTTCGGATATCGGTGGTGTTGGTAGTGCGAATGCATTGCGGTTTAACCTCTGGACATTGTAAAGTTCCTTGATCCTGTCATAGTTCTCAGACCACCAACTCTGAGCTTGCCATTTGTTAAACATTTCTCGACTGGTCAAACAAAATAAACTATATTTCAGCACTCCTGATGTTCATCGAACTAGCATATACCAAAAACACAGTAATAGCAGACACGCATTAGGGATTTAGGGTCCTCAAGCACAATTTTTGGTAGGAAAAAAAAAAGAGAAAATAAAGATCAAATTTGTGTACTTCTGAAAGCCGAATTTCACAATATCAGGATAACACTCTATACATTCTATTACCTTTTTCACAAATCAATAACTTGAAAAACCCACCATGACCAGTATGACTGCCTAATAAACAACTTTTGACTAAACATTCACCTGCTTTGAATCATAAAAAAAGCTAGTTAGCCACCAAACCTTAGGTAAGGGGAATATTAAAATTTTCTACGTATAATCATTGTGTTTAAAGCAGTGGTGAACACTAATCTTCCAAAAGGCAAAATCATCAGTAGTCTAATACCTATGAGGAGCTTTATCAACCATTAAACTACCTGTAATCATATTAATATGGAAGTGTTGGTGGAAACTAGAAAGTGCAGTTAATTAAGGAACCAACTGAAATCAAAATTCTAGAATAATACAAAATATTATATTTTGAAAAAGTTTGTATGTTCAAAAAAAAAATTAGAACACACACATCTGACGCATCTCCTTAAACCCAAGCCTACTATTAACCTATGTTTGTCAAGTGATTTTACGGTACAACCATTTAATATAAGCTTAAAGAAAGACGATGCCTAAAATATTATAAATAACATAATAATTTAGGTTGCACGTAATCTAAAATATTAATTTTTTATACTTTTTTCCGGGTGTAAACTTTCTTCGTTTAAGTTACACACAATCAAAAATATTATGTTATTTATAACATTTTAATTCACGCTTTATAATATTTTAAGTCAAACCTTTCTTTTACCCTTATATTATACTCCCCCACCCCCAGAAGTCCTCTTGTTTGTCAAAAAACATGAAAAGATGAAGGTTGTAATCCAGGTGTTGTTCGTTTGTTGGTAAAAGATGAGCGAAGGGTCAAATACTTTTGTCTTGCATGTAGGTTTTGGCGTGGGAATTCCCTGGCTAAACAGTAGGGAAATATGACAAGAGATGGGTGTTGTCTGAAGTGAGATTCTTTTGGTTGAATGGAAGTGAAGGAAGAGAGGGGCTTCCCCGACAAGACGACAAGAGTCAGTGAAAACGCTTGCCAATCCCAACACAATCAATCCCGTTCTGTCCTACACCCACCCATTGATTTGTGAAAATTACGGCTCAATTTAAAGTTCTCCTTTAAGACTTGTATCGGATGATTGCTTTTCGTTAGGCGTGAGTGTAGTCCCACTGTTACATTGTAACCCCCCCTAACTTAAAATATCTCTTGTTGCTAACCCAATGTTTGGATGCCAAGGTAATAGCAAAATTATTAGCTAGAAAAAACAAAAAAGGTAATTAAACTAAATTTATAAATCTTATTTTATGAATTGTTATTTAAGTTACTAACAACGGAATAAAATTTCTAGATGAAGTTAAAAATATTTTTATTTTCTTAGATACTAATGTAGAACAAGTGATGGTTTTTTTTACTCGATTATGAAACTAAAAAATTAATCATACAAAAATTCAAGTTTTTTTTAATTAAACTTTAATAGGATTAATTATTTTTAAGTATAATTAAGAAAATACTATAAAATAAAAAAAATAAAGAAACGAGGTTCTGAAAAAATAGTAGAATGAAGTATTTGTTATAATAATTGTTAAAATCGTACTTAATTGCAGTTGTCAATATCTTTAACAAATATCAACACATTCAGTATTCATGAAATCTCATATTTTTTTTATAAATATTCAAATATAACCTTCATATATAGTTTATTTTATTAATAATTATGATGAAAAAATATTTCATCTTTTCAATAAATTTTTATAAATATATTTTCCTAATTTTAAAAAAGAAATAATCGAGCCTTGTGAATTCCGAGACATTGTATTATTGAACATAGAGTTGTTCAAGTAGAAGGGACAAAAAACATTTAAAACACCGACAAAAACGAAATAGTGGCTAACTTTATTTGGAATAAAGAATCCCTCAAAAATATTTTTCCCCAGCTGTTAAAAATGAATTGAAACCAACAACTTAAAGGCAATACATTTCCATTTACAAAAGAAATTCCATTTCATTGTCTTTTTTAGCCAACTTTTATATATTTAAGGGTAAACTATATGTTTGATCAACCTTGGTCACAATTAAAAATTAAGGGAATAGTCTCTAACGTTATCGATCTATTCGATTTTAGTTTTTAATATTATCAATATGTTCGATTTTAGTCCCTCAGCCGTTAACTTATTTAAAAATTAATGGTCAATGGATTAAAATCGAACGGTTCGATAATGTCAGAGATCATTTTCTCTTAATTTTTTAAATTGGTGATTAAAGTCAAACAAACTCTAAACTACCCTATATTTAATTATACAAATAATCTAATATTACCAAAAATAATAAAAATAAGAATGTTTCAACTTCTCTTGTGAGTTCCCAATCAATTTTCCCATGCTAAACCAGTAATTTAAATGCAACCGTGGGATTAAAAATCTAACGCTTGAAAACAAATCAGAACCGCGAAAAATTAAAATTCAGAGAAGAATAGAAGCGCACCTGAAGCGTATACGCTTGAGATCGTTGCCGCCTCGGGGAAGCGAAACGAAGGTAATGAGTACTCCAGGCTCGACCTGAGCTACCCACTCGTTAGGCTCATTTTCTTCGACGAAGACGATCGGTTCGGCACGGCGGCCGCTCAACGAGTTCGGCGTCGTTTCTCCGCTCGAGCTCGATATCCCTTTCAACCTCTCTTCCATCTCCTTCCCCCATGTCCTCGAACTCCCTGTCCTACGGTACGACCACTTGGAACGATCCGAGTCAGCGTCGGAGCCGCCGCCCGCGGCGTTATTGAACCGAGTCTGCGCTGTGCAGGGACTGCAGTGCTTGTACGCACCCGACGCCTTCAGCGCCATGTCCTTCAACTAAAACACCGAAAAAGCAAACGTCTCCCGTTAAAGCTAAAACAAAGAGTAAAGAAGTCGAAAATCCCGACGCCCTAAAACTGACGGTGAAAAACCTGAGATGTGAGAGACTTCATGGCTTGGTTGTGCTTAGTGCTAAGATTATTGGACGAATCGATTTCCTCTGGTTGAGTCAGTGAGTCATCACCTGGTTGCTTGGAACGAGCTATGCACGTTAACATCGTCGTTAGCGGAAATCCTAAGGAAGATGAGACTATTTCTGCGAGAGAAAGACATTTACGTTTGTCAGAATTGGATTAAAATAAACGAACAACAATAATTAAAAGTTCAAAGAGTTTTGGATTACCGTACATTAGAAGCAAACTGAGAAATCTGGTCTTCTTTTGGCGGTTTGAGGAGCTCTTTACTTGGACGTTGGAATAAAAGCAACCTCTGCACTGACCCAATATATAAAAGCAACTTATAATATAAACAGATTAAAATTTAAAAATAAATAAATAAATTCCAAAATCACCTGTCAATCGCATCGAAGGTTCTTTTTTCTTTTCTTTGAGCAAGAAGGTTCGTTTTCCTTGGGTAAGGCAAAAGAGGAAGCAAATTGGGATGCCTCTGGAATCGCTATCATGGCATCGGCATTGCACTTGTGCGGTGTGAAATTTCACTCCGTCTCATTTATATAGTTCATTATTGACTTTGTACGAGAGATATATCGTAAAAAAAAATTAAAATGATAATTTTATCTTAAAAGAGTTAAATTTTATAATGTAGGGAAACTAAAAAAGATATAAAGGGAAATATGTCTAGTAAAAGTTGTTAATTTTTTAAAAAAGACAATTTTAAAACACAAAAGGGATAATTTAATGTGACAGAAGAAGTATATGTTATGGTACTATTTAATTTAAATTTAAACGATTTTCTATAATCATACACATATTATATATATCTTCATATTTTTCATATACGAGATATATATATATATATATATATAGTTGATAGACTTGACATCAACTTGATAATCAATACATTAATTACTCAAAATTTTGACTCAACTCGATTTTTTTTTTAGAATTGAGTCAAATCAAATCAAGTTTTTTAACATCATATCGATTCAAAAAATTTAATTTTTTTCGCGTCAAGTAAAATTTTGCTCACCTCTAACAATTCTATGAAACACACGTATCGGCCATCGGAAGACAGTGGGGCTTTGCTTTAAACTGTACCCCTTAACGTCAAGAGAATGCTAGTAGTTTTGTGCATGAATCATACATTTGAATTTAAGAATTTTAAATTACAACTCTAGTTCAATACACAACCTCTTTCACAAACCTTTTAGACACTAATTTTAAAGATGATATTTTGGGTCCTAAAACCACTTGTTGACACTAACTTTATTTTATTGTCAGCCAAGTCCACTTGACACACAACCGAGTTACCAACTCTAAATGGGAGAATTGGTGGAGCCGAAGATCGAAATGTGGATGTATTATAGAACGCATTTGCATTGAGACATAAATTACAGCAAGCACTCATCATCATCAAAAGCATATAAATTTACAACGACCCAAACGGAATATGCAACCATACCTTTGCAAGATTCCAATTCACGTGCAACTCATTTTAACCTGATAGTTTCATTGGGGAATATAACATTGGGATTTCGGATATGCGGATTCAGGGCTGCCAGTTCTTTCCATTTTGCTCCGTTACCGTGAATACGAGACGAGATGCTCCACAGAGTGTCACCTGGCTGAACCTTTGTTGTTGAAGGAGTTGAAGATTTAGAAGGTGCCTTGGACTTCAATAATGGATGTTTATTGCTCTTCCCCATTCCATTGGCAAGCAACCATCGAGAACCCGACTGTTGTTGGGTCTTGGTACCCCAAAATTTCTTCTTGCCAGGCTCAGTCTTCAAGCCTGCAACATGGACTTCTGTGATCCTGAACTGAGGAATCTCTTCCTCTTGGGAGGCACTTTCTTCTTTTATCTCGTTCTCTTTCACCTCCTTGTTCATTGTAGACTCAGAGCCATCATCCTCTTGATTGTCATTCCTCGAAGCTGAAACCGTTCTGTATATCTTTGGCTTTGGTGGGACAAATACTCTCTCCACTTGAATGAGTGCAAGCATCGGTGCACCAACCGGCTCATAGTTTCTTATAGGATCATGAAGTTGCACCATCAATGCCACTGTAAAGTTATTCCCTAACAAACCACACTTTTTACCCCTTCTTTTCTCTCCCTTTGACCCTCTGGCAATCAAGTCCAATGATGTAGCATGATGGGCAGCAAGGACTTTAGAAGTTCGCTCGCTTATTTGATCTTCATCATAAATATCACCAGAATCAAGTCTCATCCATTCATCAAGAGTTAGTGACAAACTCATTAATCCATCAAAGTCATCAACATTGTTTTTTATGTCCAACAATTGCAACCCACCGGTTCCATTCAGACCAAGAGACCCCCTAATACCAAACCCCTTACCTTGAAGGGTCGAGATTTCCCCAATTGACTGTGCACTGATGTTTGCAGGTGCATCCTCATCTGACATGCCAGATTGAATTCTCAAGCCTTCCATTGAGAGTGCTTCAATCTTATCCATTGCCAGTTGAGCAAGATCTTCAAGAGATACATAATCTGAGCCCATCTCATTAACAGAGGTTGAGCTACATTTGTTAGAGCTCAATAGTCCTCTTTTGACTTTCTTTTGTCCACTAGACATAGCTCGTCCAACCTCAAACCCATTCTGCAACAAACACTGCCTGCATATGAGAAGCAATAACATACAATATGAGTTTTTTGTATGATTTAGCAAAAAGATGTTAAGAAATATGGAGCCACAAACCTCTCTGGTCCCTCCAGGGTAGGGGTAGTTTCCCATGCTACTTGTTCGATTGTCTTACCAGTTATATCCTCCAAAGGCATCAACTTATTTGCCTGCAAAGAAAGCTTTTCAATACCAACTGAGGCTAATTGCTTAAGTATATCCATTATACCAGAACCCATTTCGGCAGGTACAACAACAGGATTAGACACCTGCATGATCAGGTTCCCACCATTTTTAACATTGCTGAAAAGTGAGGGATTCATAGACCGCAAAAACCCTCCATTCTTTGTTTGAAGAAATGAACCTAAGTCTTCACCAAGAGGAGGCAATTCAAGTGGCTCTTCAGGAATCAAATGAACTGGACTCCCAAATCCACCAGAAGAGTCAGGTGGAGAATGCTGGAAAGCCTTGTCATTTAATCCCCACTCACGCATTAAAGCTTCTGTTTCCAGATCTTCCAACACTTTAGCCCTCGTTTTGTTGCTCTGATTATTTGCCATCTGATGCTCTAGCTCAACATCTTGAATAACTAATGACAGATCAGTCAAGTTACCCCAACCAGACGTTGAAGTGTCAAAGTCCTCTCCCTCGGCCATGTCAAAATCTAACAGCGAAAAACCACTGGCTAGGGCATCTTCCTCAAATTGCCTGAGTAGTCGCTCCCGGGGCGACTCTGGATCAATCTCAGGAGTCAAACTGACTGGACTATAATCAAGACCCAGCATATTAAAGAACTCACTTGCCACAGATTCAGTTAATTCGTCCAAGTCAAGTGACTTCGCTTTCCTACTAGTTTTATAATTAGCTTTATTCTCCATGTAGTCGTCAGGGTGTTCGGGATCAGGAGAATCTAAAGCCGTCCCCAAATTCATAACACCATCTAAAGCTAACTCCAATTCTCTCATCAATGATTCTTTTGAGCACTGGTCATCCTCTTTGGAATTGCAATCCTGCACCACAACCACATCACTTAGATTACTACTACTTGCCTCCTTTGAAGCATGAAAATGAGAGCATTTTTCATGATCTTCTCCCGTGCCAGGTTTAGTTTCAACAACTTGAGAGCTTTCTACTGTTGATATAGCTTGTTCTTCTGAGGATAACTCTATCCCTTTTTCCACAACAGAGAAGTCATCATCTTCAGTTTCTTTTTCAATATCCTCCTTACTTGTCTCAGATCCAAAGTAAGATGGAGGCTTGATGGGCTCAAAGTGTTCTGTTGACACATCAGGTTCAGGCTTAGAAGCATCTGACTCGACATCATCAAATTTCTGATCTAGGCTTTCTGTATCATCAAGCTCTGACTTTGACACAGGCAAAACTTCATGAAGATCTTTTATCTCCTCCACAAGATGAGATGAGCCAAAAGACTTCAGGTCAACCAAACTTGGAAGACTCTCAACCCTCCTCATTGTGCCCTGCTGATCACCGTGACCAAATCTAGTAACTTCTTTACCCATATTCTGCTTCACCTGATTCTCTCCAAGTGGCACACGGTTATCCCCAATGATAACATACCCAAAACTAACATTCATTGTAGCACCCTTGGCCTTCCCTGATAACTTAAAACTAGTTGTCCACTTCCCTGAGCTCTTTTCTTCCTCCAATTCCTCCAATGTAAGCGGAAGCAGCCGTGTAAGATCAAGCCGATGCTTCCCCAAATCAAGGTCCGGTGTCCCAAACAGAGAAGCATAGAGCAGGAAATGCTTGGCCTCATACTTGGTTGAATGATGAGGTCCACTTTTACTACCATATACCGAGCATGTATGCGTCATCTTCTCTTCAAATTCAGCAGTTCCATCAAAAACTTTAGCAGGATGAGTCATTAGCCCCCCATCCCGCCTCTTCCAAAGCACACATAGGCTAAGACCATTGAAACAAACTGGCAAACCTTCAATGGAGTGTACATGAAGTGAGAAACAACAAGCAAACCTACGGTTTCTAACATTTGAGAATGCCTTCAATGGCTTCCAATTCCAGATAGATTTCTTGTCTTTACGAGATGGGTCCTCGTTACTATTCTTAGGCTTAGATTTTGGCTCGGGCAAGCGGGTTTTCCCACCTGGTTTGGACCATGTACTCAAAGCAGAGAATGAAGTCCTTGGAGGGTTCTTGTCCAAATACAAAGCTTTGCTGATAGCTTCAATTTCATTCAACAACTTCCTATTACCCGAATCTTCACCGCTCTTCTTCCTATTTTCAACTTTGGACAACATCATCTATTTTATATAAAATTAAAAAAAAAACAGATTAAGCAATAAATCAAGAAAATCCAGCAAAAACATATAGACTGAATAAACGAATCAAGTAAAAGCCCATAAATGAAATTAAAATCAAATAACCAAATTTAGCTTCCCAGCAATTAAAAAAACTCTGTGGAACAGTTTAAACAAGAAGAAAAGAAAAACCTATAAGCTGAAATAGAATAAGGCGGAACTGTCGAAATCTCACAACCAAGCGTGTTAAGAATTATGGAAGAAACACGCACGAAATCTTACAAGAAGTGAGTTGAAGTGGCTGAGACTATTCAGGCGCGTTTGTCTCGGCGGGTCGCTTACTGGCCGTCCCCGTTCGTCTCTGATTTGCCGCGGCCTTTTCCCCAGTCCAACATTTCAAATGGAGCTACGAAGTTTCGTAGTTCATATTTGACAGTATTACGAAATTAATCAATTATACATGGTATTTACCGTTGGTGGGGCTTATCTTTGTCTGAAATTCGTTTCCAAGGTTGAACATTGTCCATATTTATAATATTACCCTTTCTAAAAATTGGTACAATATTGTACATATTTTATTAAAATAAAACAAATAAATATTAAAAGTTTAATGTTTACATATTGCTTTCGTATGAATTATTTGAGTAAAGTACTCTAATATTATACAACATAGCAGAGTTAGAGGAGTAAGAGGATGAAATTAGGATTGGGGCATGGAGGAGGAGGAGAACATAAAGATAAAAAAGAAGTGTGGATAGACACATAAACAATGGAAAATTTATGGTTCTTTTCCTGGAATTTTTTAATTTTGTGGTGGCTTAAAGGCTAAAAGCTTAAGCTTAGATGTATCGTTGACAATATTCCAATTTCTTCACGGCATAAATACCTTACTTCACGTGATTAAGCAACTCAACCGGCTTCACTTTGCAAGCCTTTCGCAAGTCAAACCAACTAATGAATTAAAATATATTAAATAAATTGTGGTTTTGTGTTGTCAAAAATTTAGGGGGAAAAGGCCGCAATTTTTGAATTATATTAAAATCCTATTTTGTTGGAAATTGTTTCAATTTCATCTCTAAACTTTTGGATGACTTTTCGGGATGCTATTGTAACATTTAAAAGTTTGGAGACTAATATAGACATAATTCATTGTTTGGGAATAAATTTGGAATGCTTACATGGTTAGAAACTAATTTAGAATTAAGGTCGTAATCTGAGGATATACAATGCAATTAACTCTTAAAAAACAATTTTAAGGCTAAAACTAATTTTAAATGTCTTTATTTATCCCCTGATGGTGCAATTCATTCAAAAGGAAAAGGCCTTTTATCATTTAAAATTTTATTTTATAATAACAGATTTAGATAAAGATGATTAAGATAAAGTAGAATAAAAAAATAGTTCACATACAATGTAATTGTAACTGAATATAGCTATTAGATTTATGAAATTTCAAAGGTGATATGATATGGTAGTCCAGATTAATGGACAGACAAAATTATTGAATCTCTACCTACCTACCAACCAAATCCAAATGCTTGCAAAGTCAAATATCGATGCCTATACATGCAACGCACCGCCATATTTTTTCCAATCCCATTAATTATTCTTTGCTGCATAATAGAAATAGATAAGCCCATTTTTCACGCATAAACTAATGCCTTAATTATACATTTAATTATCCATTGCTATAAATTGCAACTGTTGTACTTAATTACACTCAAAATGGGGGAACCCCCCCCCCCCACAAACTCAACCCAAAATTAAAATAAATAAATAATTCAAAAGGAGCTCCTTGCCCCTAAAGACACAGCAAAACGCCCGATGAGGGCAGAAGACCAACCCCATTCTTAACAAATAACCATATTTTCAACTTTTTAACCATGGGAAAACACAATCATGGGACCCCCAGACATTCCAAACAGCCAGCCTGGGAGGATATGTGAAAATTGGAAGGAAAGAAGACTACTAGTGGTATACACATGAACATAAGAGATGATGCAGCTATATGCACAAGACTAGTATAGTGGCTCCAGAGGATGTATACATACGAGAGATGTCATCGTGCTTATGATTCTGTACGTGGAAGTAAGAATCCAAAACCAGAATTCTCACGAATTAGTGACGGAGGATCTACATCAGCTATGTCCACTTGTTGCAGGGACTTGGAGATATCATCCACCGTAAACGGGATGCTGCATTGACATGAGTTGTAAATATAGAAATCATAATGTGTTTGGTGTGAAGACAATATGGGGTTAAGTACTCTTCTACATGAAGCTAAAAGTAGGTAAACACTAACCTTGAGTCATCGTCTAATAGGAAAGAACTACTAACGGCATTGTTGGAGTCCTCGGTCATCATGACTCTCATGTTTGCAATGACCTGTACAATTGTGAGATTATGTTCATTTATAAAATTGCAAGTCTTAAAAATGGAAATTTTCAAAGTTCTGAAAAGGGACAAAACAAACAGATTTAGCATGGAGCTTTTGAACTTACATCCGATGACACGCTATGCGTACCATATTTGTCATCCCAATACATTGTGCTGATTCTGTATACTTGTTGTATGCTAAGTACCTGAAAAACAGCAACACACACGCACACCAGAGGACGATGATTTAGGGAAGGTAAATTTTAACAGAGGTGAGGAATCTTGAACGAGAAAGTCATTTACCGGGCAAAGTTCTTTCATTATTTCTTTCAAGGTCTTTTTGGGTTTTTGATGAATAACCTGAGTTTCAAAGAAATGATCAATCAGTGAACTATTTCAGATCATGATTCGAAACAGTTACTGGGCAAAATGCTATAAGAAGAATCTAACCAGGAATCCCACAGCCTGTCTTATGTGTTTCAATTCATCCCATGCCGAACCTGCAAACTGTTTACAAAAATTCAAGTCAAGTAACACGATAAAATGGCAGGGTGTAACAGTCGCAAAAGGCTGTATATAGCTTACTTCCTCAGTCGCCTCGCGGCACCACTGTTCTAGTTCAGCCAGACCAGCTTTCACATACTCCCCATTACTGAATGAGCAACACTCACGTCTCAAAAGAAGACTGCATGCATGTGTAAGACAAATGCCACACAGTTATCAAGGGAAATAAATACAACCTTTACTTTGTTACATGATCTAGTAAACAAATGTGCATGCACGTCCACACACACATACCTGTTGAATAGCTGAACGTTGATGAATGAGAATATTTGAGTGAATACTTTACGGACTAGGAAGGGAGGTACCTGTATAACCAGATAACTAAGACTTGTAAAAATCCCTAGAGGAAAGATGATATATATAAATATATGTATGTAATTTCAACCAGATCGAGATCTCACATGGTTAGATTTCATTATCTGCAAATAGCGGTTCAAGCTTTTCACAATGCTTTGCCAATGAGCAATTAAAGCTTGCTGAGCAACAGCATTTGCTTGAGACCGTCCCTTCACCAGACTTGCCCGTGATGTCCTAGGAACCTGCATTGTATAAAAAAATATGCAAAAAAGGTGATGATCTGTATTTACTCGATACTTATTTGCATCCTTGGTCACAAGATAACCATAAACAAGAAATTTCAAAAATTAGCAGCATTGGATACCTAGTTCATAACCCCAAATCAAAAATTTAAAAATAACCTGAATGCACAAGCCAAGCAATGGAGAGATCTCTTTCTTCATATTGTCTCTTATCATTCCATATATCTTCTCAAGGAAGGCAGTAAGCTGCTGCTTAAACAGTAATGCAGGGTACTTGGCCTCAACTTGCCGCAAGTCATCTAGTCTACTATGCCCACGGCCACTAAGAAATGAAAGCCCAGCACTTTGCGGAGATGCCCGTAGACCCTAGAATTCATATTTTTTTTTAAAAAAAAGGGTGAAGAAAATCAATTTAATATACCAAAAGGCTAGGATAATTATTTCAGTAAGAGAGACAAAAGATGCTTACTTGAGACATCCTCCCAAAGAGTGAAGCTGACATTGCCCTTCGTCTTTGTGGCGTCAAACTGGCAGCTCCACTTGCTTTAAGTGTGTGTTGGAGGAGGAGCAACAATGTTGATGAATTAGATAACCAATAGGCTAAGACATCATTATTGTCCTGTACCTTCAGTAAGGCAGACGTCGCTTACATTAATGATGTTCTTTTCATCCGGAAGTCATATAAAGACAAGCGATTGGTGACTTGCAGTTGCTTCCAATCTTAATTCTATCAGCCTCAAAAATGCACTTTCGAGAGCTGCTGAAATATTTATTGGCTAATAATGCAGAAAACTTTAAAAGTCAAATTATATCTTACCTCTATGGCAGAAGCTATTGTTTGAATGACACGGTCAAAAACAGTCGTTCTTTCAACTTCAAATGACCTCCAGTGGAGAAGACATTTGTATATGACACAAGCAGCAATTGGCTTGCTCCCTGAAAATCCCAAATTTTGTGATATACACTTGATCAGCAGGTCTTGATTCACCTGAAAGACAAAAGGCACACTGAAGCAATGATCAAAACTGGTACATCCATATGAATAGGAAAACCCTACTGAAAATCGAGTTTCAGATAAGATATTAGAATGAGTTTCATTAAAAAAAATTCATAATGGCCACTACCTGCTGCTTTTCGTTGAGGGATTTCTGAGGCTTTTCCTCAGATTCAGGCTCACGTACATTTGAGATGGCAAGAGTTGTATCCTGAGAAGTTATTGAAAGGTAAGCAATATAATATAAATATCAGAACATCTTATATCGTACGAATTCTAAGTTCCCATTATCACAATAAATGTTGTCAGTACCGATGAAACCTTGGCTTCTTCATTTATAACATTTCCATTCTCTGGAGTCCTCTGCAAATTAATTAACAAATAATCAGAATATATTTCTCTAAGGTACATTTCTTTTTTATTAATCTCTAAGGTACATTGAAGCTTACAAAATGAGGATGAGTGATGAACTAATAATATTTATTTGTACCGGAATAATCTTTGTTCTTTGTCTTGCAGTCAAAGATTTCCCAGTCGGAGATATTGCCAGTGACTGCTGGCGAAGTACTTGATTATCGGATTCTGAATTGGCAAGTTTTTCTTCTAACCTGAGCATAGAACAAATCAAGTTTAATGGGTTGACCGATATTGAATCAAAAAGTTTCAAGAACATACAAAGCTAAATTTGTTAGTTTGTATGCAAACAGCATTCGTTTCTACACAGACCTCTGCACCGAATCTTGAAGTTGGTCCACTTTTCGCTCGGACTCTTCAAGTTTCTTTACCAGCTCTGCATTTCTGGTCTTAGCATCTGAACAAGCATTACGAGCTTCTTCAGCTGATTTTCTTTCTGATAGCAACGAAATCTGCAGTTCCAAAGGAACATTTTCTGTCATCATTGAAGTTTCTAAAGACTCCAAGATATAAAATAGAAAGTCCACAACATTTAAACTAATCTGTTGGCAGTATCTTGCAAGCAGAGGTGGTTTAATGGATCATATCTCTGTGTCAAATAATGGGATTCTGGAAGAGGATGAGGTGGCCCTTAGCCCTACTAATTTTGTGGGAGCTGGTGATGGTGTTTCTTTTGTGAATCAAGGTGGGTGTAAT